CCCATCCCTCTCCTCCCTCCTCCCCCCCCCCCCCAAGGGTCAGGCGATCCAGTGGCCCTCAAACCTGACCGCCCTCCGCTGCGCCGGCCCACCAGCGCCACTCTGCCATGCTGCGGTACTTTCAAGACAGACTGTACAGTAGGGGAGAGTGGGGTGGGTTGTATCAGTTTTTACTCCGAGACCCATAACCTCGTAACTATCCGTGATAAACTCATTATTTCCATACTATCTCCTTCCTTGATTCTTCTGCTTTTTTGTGCAAAGTAACTTTTCCGCTACCTCTACCAGTTTTTCTTCTACGGTCTGCCGAGTAGAACGATGTTTTTGGTACAACTTGCCCCATGGCTTGGGTGAGTTGTATCACATGGTGGGGTAATTTGTATCACTAGGTATTTCACGTTTCAGGGAGTGTGCTTGCTACTGGTTTTGAACATAACAACAACATTAAATGGGGTTAATACAATGTATATGCTCAAAGGCTTCACTTTTATTAGACCAAACTTAGGTCAATGCAATCCGAACGAAACATCGAAACGAACGAAACATCAACAGACTAGATGCAAAAGTGGCCCGTTAAGAGCAAAGAAGCCAACACATTGTGCCGAAATGGAACGAGTATTGACTAGCTACCTACAAACGCGAGACAGGGCTTAGCTTTCGCGATCAAAAGCAACATGCCCATACATACATACATGTTACAACATAGGTACCCCACCCGGCTCTGATACAACATGTACCTCGCCGCCATCTTGGAAAAAACATCCTCGTGCTCAAAAACAGCGGACAGCTGGTGAAATCCTTTTTCATTCACGCAGCCTTAGAACCTACCCTCACCACCGCTACGGAGATCTTTCAAATTCGTGCACATCTAAATGCCCAAAACACACATTTTCTTGCAACTCATTTTTTTAGAAGGACATTAAAAAAACATAAAATCGGCTCTCATCTCGAGACGCGTCCACCCAGCCACACGACAGAACAGGGAAAGATGGCGCCCGGAAAACCTCGTTGGCTGGTCGTGTCACGAGCGCTATCTATTGGATAAGTTTGGCACAATTCGCCCTGATACAACTTGGACATGATACAACTCTCCCCGCTCTCCCCTACAGGTAAAGTGAAAATGACAGCATTTTTTATCCGTATTTGAAAAATGACACTTTTCAACTAAATACTCGAAATGTATGGTTTGTAGACATGCTTGATATCATAAATTATTAAAAATCACGTTTAATCACGTTTAATGGATATTTCATATGCAGATAGCAGCCATGGAATATGTCTTATAAGATCGCGTCTGAATCCTCGTGAAAACCCTAATTGGGCTAAGACGATTGCAATTTGTTTACAGTGAATTCGTACCAATGCTTATCATTCCTAGTATCACGTTTTGCGGCTAAAAAACGAAATTGCAGGCCCCAAATTTCGCCGATAGACTCGATTCCTTTTAGCCTGAGCAGATATCTTTGAAGGTAAGTAACTAATAACTAAAGCCACACTTGCCTGATTTATTTCTTACTTGCCTAGGCTAAAAAAGGCAAAAATGAATAATGGTGTGAGATTTAAGACAGGCGTAATGTGGTTAAAATTTAATTGTTTGACTCAACCACCAGTCAATATTATACGTTTATATTCAATGAAGACCCAGCTTAGGGGTGAATTATTTTATCTAAATATTACCATCCACGAGTCCCTGACAATTAGATCCAAGCCAGGTAGGTACATACAGGGTGTCCCATAAGTTCGTTCTCACCTAAATTTTACGTTTTTAGGCTCTCTTGCTTAAAGGCACGCTGAAATTGGTTCGTTACTGAGCTTCCGTGGTTGCCATGGCTAGTAGAAATATGCTCCACAGTAACTAATTTCTGTAGACAAAATAGTTTTTGCTAGAGAGCCCGTTTCCTACACAGACGGCTAACGCCGCAACATAGAGGTCTCCAATACGGGTACGTCTCGGTATTTAGTCAGCACGTGACCATTCGCGACGATTGAGGGTGATTGAGGCCTACCAGTCTGTAGACAATGTCCATCGCTAACTGGACGCACAGTCAGCAAGTGACACCGATGATTTGTCGGGAGTCAATCATTGCAAGTTTATCCTCTTTTTTGTCAGCTCTCAGGAGTGAGCCATGTGGCCAAAACTGTGTAGCGCCAAAGTGGCCATCAAAAAGGTCAAAGGGTTAGAAAGTTGGTAAGAGGACTTTTCAGGATGGATTACCAGCTGTCTAAAATTGTTCTTACGGGGTACATAACTCAAGGTGACTTAAGCTTTGCTTACCGGAGGGCTCAAAACAGTCAAAAACGTCTTAAAATGGCCAAACATGAGTTTCGTTATGCCTGAGGCTAAAAAACTAAAGGGCTGAGGACATCAACCAGGTCATCTGGACTAACTAGTCCACGCTCGAGATGAAACACCCGTCCAAACCCGAAAACAACCCCATAAGGGCGAAGGAGGAGGCCTCCGTTTCGTCCCGTTATGTTCCTATGCGAAAGGCCAAGATCACGGTATTGTGGGGTTATAGGCGTCCAGACGCTGACCAGGTTGCGGTTGGTGTCCCAGAAACAGGTTTGGGAAGCATAATGCTTTTCCAAGAAAATCTAGGAGGAGTTTCAGCCCTCAAGCTGAACTCGAACCGCGAGTATGAACACATTTATAGAGGAGAAAATGGCATCCGAGAGGTCGTAGGCCCATCTTCAGGCAAGACAGTGCATCAGTGCACAGGCCAAGCAAAGCTTAAAAGCGGTGGAAGGAGACTGTGACAGGCGTTTGTGGCAAGACCACATGCCAGGCACCTCATCGGATCAAAATTTCATAAAAAAATTGTTGGTTATGCTGAAATTTAGGCTCGTCGAAGCGTAGCGCTGTTCCAGCCTCGAGGAGCTCACGGCGCATGTCAAGTCAGTCTGGGTTAACTTTAAGCCTGCTATGCAGCCAAACATGCCGGTTGGCATGCCGCAGCATGTGTTCATGTGTTTGCCTATTAAATGGGGAGCACATTGAGGGGTCATAAATATATCAAAACACAAAGTACTCTGTTTCACATGCAAATAAAATGTGAGAACGAACTTATGGGACACCCTGTACACTGCCAATCAAGCTCCACTTTGAAGCCGCTGTGTCCATCCAAAGCCAGTCCTGAATCTCCTCACAGCTGAACGGACAACGGTGCGTGCACGAACGAGGGAGTGCTCAGGCACACGCACTTTGATGCACGTACAACAAGCTGCGCCAAGAGGACGGGGGACGTCAGAACATAAAAGGGAGCGTCTGGACAAGAGGACGGTGCGCAGCTGAAAGGGAGGATGTCGCGAACCTGCGGCTGCACAGGAGACTGCGCCAGCCGGGAGGCATGAGCGGCACCGAGGCACCGAGGATCAATGTGGCAGTTGTATTACCAATATATACTCGGCAGTGAAGTTTGGTGTTTGTGAAAGTATGGCACAGAAAACCCGGCTGGCACTCAGATGGAAAGCTTGCAATGGTACCTAACCGGCTTGACTACGTTCGGCTATGAGGCTGCGGGCCGTTAAAACAACAAAATGTCGTGAAACTCGACAATCCTTTCTGCTTTCTGTTGACTGCATATTCGGCCAGTCACTCTTGAGTCTGAGGAGGATTAGGGACAGATTGATGCCATCTTCCAGTACCTACCCGATATCAATAAATATTTGTCTTTTTCCTCACATGGAAAGAGTACCTACTTATTATTTTATAATACGATTTTACTTTTAATAGTACAAAAACGCACAAGAAAGTAAAATCTGTCAGCTTAGTGTCTTGTGACTTTCGACATTTTTTTGGGAGTAGGTAGGACCCTAGGACATAGGTACCATTGTCTCCCCGCATCGATGCAATGCCTTTATGGATTCGCCACTGTAACCACCTTTAAACATGCGTTTAACGTGAAAAGTGTAATAAGTCCGGAAATCCAGGTTGCAACATTTAGTAAATTTGCTAATTGGTGACGTAAGTACGAAAATAAAAATTTAGCGTTTTTCAGCGCGTACTTATTGGTACGTGTTTTGCCTGAAGTCACAGATGCAGAAGACAGGTAACTATATAAGTCTGAGTGTATTTCTGTGACTGAAGTAGTATTTCTTTCAACAGATTTGTAAATATTATGCAAATTTTAACTTCATTAAGAAGTGAAATCAAGTGGCACGCAAGCAAACGTAGTTCTGTTATTTTTTTACCGCTATTTAGGTAGGTACAAATGCCTCAGATGTCAGCACAAATGAAGATGAGTTAGGTATGAAAAAGTCCTAAAGGATAAACGCCACAAATGCAGTCATCGGTTATATCCAAGGGTTGACCATTCGCTGACCATCAGCGGGTCGTTGTAACGTTGTCATTACCAGCGGAGGCCGAGACTGCATCATAACGAAATGTAAAAGCGAACCCTTCTCCCCGTATAGGTCCCTGTCGTGCCGTGAGACCTGGCAAGGACCGATGACCGCCTTAGGCCGCATAAGAACTGAGTTATAACGAGCATCAGACTGCCGCCGGGGCACCTTTCCGCCGCCACACGGCCCATTAGTTCCCATCCCAGCCGACTCACGGCCCATTGTTCTATATCTCAGCCCTAAGCCGGTTTAATAGTCCTTATACTGCCCGCCAGATTGCTTGTCATTCCACATTGCTAACCATTAGATGACCGATTTGTTGCCATTTGGACACTCGACTGATTGTTGAGTCTCATTCAGACACTCCATTTAGATGAGTGACAGTCGATGTGTCCTTACTTTTGACTGATTTGTAGGATGGCCGATCAGCTTTCAAGCACGGTCAGACGATTTATAAGATCAGTCCGTTATCAGTCTATATAGTGGCAATCGAATGGTCCGGTTGACCACCTTGGGCCGTCTAGCGACCGTTCTTCCTGCAGTATGTCACCAAGTTGGTTTGATAACTCGGCCATCTCTACAATCCACTAGTTTCTTCTTCCGAAGGATGATGACGTCTTCCATTTATACTCATTGTCTGTCTGTTCTTTCGCCGGCAGAGAAAGAGAAGAAGGATGGCGATCCCTGGCCCCCCGTGGATGCTCAGGCCGCCTTTCTGGGCCCCAGTCTGTGGGACTCGCAAAAGGATCAGCAGCTGAAGGTGAGTTGAGAAACATAAAAAGACTGAAAATTGAACGGTTTTTAGATAATTTGTCTCAAGCACATTCAGCGTAAAGAATTTAAATCTCCTAAGAACTAAGCGAGGACCTCTTTGCCCCAATACTGTAAATGGCATTTCTTGTTGATGAGATGAGGTCGGCAAATGGGATGTTTGGTGCTACCTTCGATATCGTTATCTTCCGAAGTAGCTACCAACAGACCAGCGTACTACAGCTGAGTGAAGCGTACGCCGTCCCCCGTCTGTGCTCTCCCCAGTACACAGACCTGGAGGATTTCCTTAACGAGGCAGACACCGTCTCGCAGCCGCGTTCCAGCCCGCCGCAGCGCGTGCCGGGCAGCCCGCCGCTGCAGGTGCCGCCGCCGCCGCCCCAGCAGTTCCCGCAGCACCTGCACCAGCAGCAGCTGCAGGAGCGGCCGTGGCCGGGCGCGCTGGGCCCGCCGGGCCACCACCAGCACCAGCCGCCGCGCCACCCGCAGCACCAGCAGCAGCACCATCACCAGCAGCAGCAGCAGCAGCATCAACACCCGCAGCAGCCGCACCCGCAGCAGCAGCACCCCAGCTGTCGTTTGAACGAGCACCGGGTGCCCGACCAGGCCGGTCGGGACCAGCTCAGAGCCGGTGAGTGACTCCCGGACAGTGATAGGCGCCCACCGGGGGCGGCCTGCCTGGCCGAAAGACGTAGCACTGTGATGTAACTCGATGATGGGTGGGCGTGAGACGCCTCAGCAACCGTTATTTGCACGCGCTGGGACGTCGGCCCACCCGCGCCTCAAGGGCCAAGGCCAGGTGACCTGGCCGGCCGGCCGGCCGTGGAGCCCTCGCGGTTCGCGCGGACGTCAAACGTTCAACCCTGGCCAGTGACTGATGTCATGCCATTTATGCAAGTCCTCTGTCCATTATTTACGACTGGAATGAGACGTTTGAGATTGAGAGTGTGCGTGACCTGTATGTGATCGTCGTGTACTCTGTGACCCCCAGGTGAGGAGGGCGGCGCCCCTCTCAAGGTCAAGGTCGAGTTCCAGGTGTCGCCCTCGGACCTGGCACTGGCCACGGTCCCTGGCACCCAGTTTGACCCTCAGACACACCAGTTTTCAGACGATGAGCTGAAGCCACAGGCTATCTGCAAAAAGTCGAAAAAGCAGGTGAGAACTGCGGGCCTTAGTTTTATGTCATGTAACTCAGGTGATTGGGAGAGGGTGCTGGCGGACTGGTAATTGTTCACACGCGTTTTTGCGTCTTGCACATGAATTAAAACTGCACATATAATAATTGTCGCGGGATATCCGTAAGGTGCTATCTCCTCAGGAGTAGTAAACGATTCGGCGTTGCTTTGGTGGCAGTCTCGACACCAAACGGTGGTCATTTGGGAATATGTAGAAGTCCTACAGGCTACAGAAATAACATTTAAAGTGACACCTATGTGGACATCGTATCCTAACGTTGTGCCGTTCAGACACAGAGATTGTGCTGCAGCTCATTCAATAGCACCGCGCTGTCGGCCCCCTAATCGACCGTTTCCCGGATCGCCAGGCGGCTGGCCGCAGCCACGAGGCCAGCTGTTCCGCAGCGTGCGTGTGCGGCCGCAACGGTGCAAACGCGCTTCCGTGCAACGGGTCGGGTCGGGTCGGGGCCGGGGGGGGGGGGGGGGGTCGACCCACTTGGCGTATATCTCTCGCCGGTGACGTCAGCGGGCCCTGTAGCAGCTCCAGCCGGTTGACCCCCGCGCTGCACTCTGACATAATCTCCGTAACCCGGCTGCAGACCCGAATGGATTGCGCAAGAACTAGCGAAAGCTTCGCTCGCTCATATGGTCCTTATCGCGAACTGATTTCACATCGTCCGTACATGTTGAGGCGAACGGTAGGAGACACGTGTAGGCTAGGATAATCATCGGTTGACCGTCAACGTTATGCAATCAAATCGCCTGTGCGATAACCGACCGTTTCCTGTCCCTGCAGAAATTCTATTACATAAAATGTTACATCATATTCTTTGTGCTCAAATTCTTTCGCATGATCTATGATAGTTGTAGCAATGTCATTATTGCCGCAGCGGCTGACCCGGATCTGCGCCAACGTCGAATTGAAATGCGTGACGGCTCATCACTAAAAAATCAATCATTTGTGCGTGACCCGGTTCGCGTTTCTTGTTGTCTTTGGATGCCTCCCTCGTCCACATATGTCTACTATCTGGCCAACTGATCTGCTGTCGCGCCAATCGTGCGGTCCGCCCATCGTCCATTGCCTTAGTAATTATTTACATTATTTCGCAACTCGCACACTGTGTTTGCCTGACACGCACTGCAGAGTCATGACCTTCACTTGACCTGAGATGACCTAGTTAACAAACGCAATTGAGGTTTAACTATGCGGGCAGATAGTTGTTGCCATCTCGGTCTATGCGGCTATGTGCGTTATACGACCCCCCCCCCCCCCGTTGTTACGCATTAGCTTATCCACGCAATCGCTGCCGGTTGACACCACATCGATACGGCGGGCGGAGGGGGATGTCAGAGCTGTGTCAGCGCGAGATGTCAGTTGTCAGGTCACATTGTGTGAGGCGTGTCAGCGGAGGTCAGGAGTGTCAGCGTCTGGGTGACGGTGTGTCAGGTGTGTCAACGGGAGATGTCAGTAGCCAGGTCACGGGATAGTGGCCGTGTCAGCTGTGTGAGGTGTGTCAATTGTGTCAGCTCAGTGTCAGTAGCTAGGTCATGGTGTGTCAAGTGCGTCACCGTTCGTGTCGGCTGTGTCACCGTTGTCTTTTCGCCGTTCCAGATCGTCCCCGACGAGCGGAAGGACCAGCGGTATTGGACGCGCCGCCAGCGAAACAACACGGCCGCCAAGCGCTCGCGCGACGCCCGCCGTCTCAAAGAGAACCAGATAGCGCTGCGGGCCAACTTCTTGGAGAAGGAGGTAGGTGGCCGCCGCCGACAGTGCAGTCCCTGGCCCTGACAGGCCTCGATTACGCAACGCTGAATGCTGCGCCAGGCCGACCTGATGAAAGACGGCCTTTCGCTGTAAAACGGTTCAGCTGTAACAGCGCTCCGCTTCATCACTGTTCTGCGCTTTTTGTAGGCTTATCCTGCTCTGCGCAGCTGTTCTCACATTTATTCCGCCGTGCGGTAATTGGTGCCTTACCTCGTATCCGCGCGCTTTTATCCCATAGTTTGCTGGAGATGAGATGCGTAATAATGTGCGTTATTTGAAGATGAGTTGAGCTATCAATTTTATTGTTGACGTGTTACATAACGAAAGTTCTGCTCGACTAGTAATTGGCACGACTTGTTCACCTTTTTATGCTCGGCCACGTCGGTCGCATAACTTCCTGAGCACCGGACGCGACGGGAGTTGAACAGATGAACGGGACAGATGAGCCACCTTTTCACGTTCAACACTGTGGCCTTGTCTGAACCCACTGAACTCTATAATGTGGAAGGCGCATCGGCCGCCAGATGGTGTCCAACGGTGCCGCCATGTTGCGCAGACCAGGAAGCGGCCGCCGCCTGTGTTGGGGAATAGGAAATTCGGGACCTCGATTTACGTTTGCGGTCGCTGCATCCGTTACATTCAAGCTATGTGGACACGGAACCCGGCATCTTACGCAGAATTGAGTGGAGAACAAGATGAAATCCTAAAAAATCCTCAGATACAAGGAACTAATACGTTAACCCGCGCACCGACGGGGGTCTGCGCCAACTTCGTACCGACGGGGGGGGGGGCGGATGACCGCCCCCCCCCCTGAGATCTCGAGAACGAAGCAAGATAGCGACAAGCGGTAAACGGCATCGGATACGCACGGCCAAGATCTACAATTTTTACTAAGGTCATTTTCAGGTCAGGTCAAAGATGACGTCACAGGGGTCGAAAAAGTCAAAATGGCGGCGCTAGATATGGAGAGAGTTTTTCTCGAATAACTTTCGAATTAGTCAAGATAGGAACAAACTAAGGGCATCATCGTGATCCTCTCGTCAATCCGCATCGAATGATATATATGTTGACCTCGAAAGGTCAAGGTCAAAGGTTGACCTCAGGTCACGTGACCTCGAGGTCATCATGTATATCATTCGATGCGTCTTGACGAGCTGAACACAATGAGACCATCCACGCGTCTGTATCTTGTTCCTGTACGGAGTTACTGGCCAAAAACCTTTGGTGACCTTTGATGACGTCACATGACCTCACAGCTGCCCAACAGCAAATCAGACCTCAAGGTAGTGAAGGTTGATCGTATATGAAGTCATGTATGGTATATGGGGCCATTCCGACCCGTTTTAGTGGTAAAAACAGGGAGTTGATTTTTCCCCCATTGACTTATAATGGGGAGGTCGCGAAATTGACCTGACCTTAGGTCACCGATATCAAAATTCCGAGATATACAAATTGTAGCTACTAATGACCTCATAATATCCTGCGAGTTTCAAAGGCCTCCGACATCTACTGTAGCTCTGGCACGGTGACAAAGTTGCAAAAAAGTGACTTGAGGTTGGGTCATTCAAAGTGACCTGGTGACCGGACCTTAAAAGGTAGGAGGTTCAAACTTGCACACCATGTGTAAAATTGATGAGGTTATAGTCATACCAAATTTCGCGGCGCTACGCGCCGCGGTTTTCCCGCTATTCGCGAAAAACCTCAGGGGGGGGGGCGGATATCCGCCCCCCCCCGTCGGTGCGCGGGTTAAACCCTTATAAGCCAATGGGGAAATATGAAAATTGCTATTTTGGCGCCGAGAATGATCTGAAACTATCTCAAGCATAGGTAGGTATAGAATCATGATTTCATGCACTCTTTGCAAGGTTCAATGCTTCATATTTGCATTGTTGCCCTTGCGTGACGTCATTTGTGACGTCATAAGGGTCACAATTTTTCTTCAATAACTCCCGATCAAATTGATCTAGCGAGTCGGGAAAGCCACCAATGGGCTCAGGAAGACCTGCCGAATCGAATGATATGCGACATGACCTCTTTCGACCAACTTCGTGACCTGGGGGTGCTGACCTGACCTTGACCTGAGGTCAACACCCTAAGTTGACCTGACCCGAACAAAAAGTATATCACTCGATGCGCCTGAGCTAGCTGAACACGATGATGCCAAAATCGCGGCTCTATGGCCATTTTTTGGCGGAGTTATTTACCAAAAATCGAACCCGTGCCTTAGATCACTTGACCTGACCTCAGAGGTCACCGGTTGACCTTAGACCCTTACAGCGGGTTCCTACTAGTCACTCTGCGTTATACTTTGCCGCATACGACCACTTTACCGCTTAATTCTAGTTTAACCCTATTAGTGGCAGGGGGGGGGGGTTGTTTTTATCCACCCCTCAGGTTTTTCGGGAATATCTCCGAAACCGCTGAAGCTACGATGCTGAAATTTTCTGACTTTTCCTAAAACTAAATTGGGCACATCCCCTGAAAATTTCAAGTTCATAACTTTACCAGGGGCGGCTCCAGAGCACTGGGAATTGGGGGGTCCTATTCGTGAAGCGAGTCATTTGGGCGAAGATCACGATGCTGCACCAGTTTTACGAACAGTGAATGAAAGGTATCATGTGATAACATATACAGTTATTGTGCATCCTCTTTTGACACGTTTTTGCTATAATAGGCGGATCCAGGCGTCCAAAAAGGGGGGTTATGTTTTACCTCCCAACATAGGTGCCCTGACACCGCCTATGCATGACCAATACAATTGTAGTCGTTCTCTCATAAGAAAATTGTAACATAACAAGACCATTACCACCCTTTTTAGAAACAGTACCAACAAAAACCTTATTTACTATACTTTTTGTGTACCCCCAATCTCAATGATCTGTATCCGCCTATGATTTTTGAAAATGCATATTTCTAGGATCCATGTGAATTCCTGGTTCATTCTCTATCGATCGGCAAAAGTTGCGTTAAGATTGGTTCAGAAACCTGGCCGTCATAAACAGTCTAAAATGTATCTGCAATTTGCCCGTTTTTACCCCCCTCTACCCCCCCCCCCCTATTGACATTTTTTAATTTTTATTTTTTAGAAATGTAGATCACGTTGAGCGAAATCGAATGCCGTTTGAATTTTGAAAATCGGCCCGTTAGATCTCGAGATATTAAGAGGGGGGGTCGTAAACAGCCCCCCTGCCACTAATAGGGGTAGCCAGGAGCCTGCCACTAATAGGGTTAATTAGCGGCGCATTAACGAGGTGGGTTCAATCAACCCCCTCGGCCGGGGCAAATGTAGGTCCGGCGAGTGAATTTGAGGAATTCTGAAGATACGATCGTGTTCCCCACTCAATTCTACGTAAGATGCCGGGTTCCGTATCTACGTAGCTTGAACGTAACGGATACGGCGGCCGCAAACGTAAATCGAGGTCCCGAATTCCCTATTCCTAAACACAGGCGGCAGTCGGTTCCTGGTCTGCGCAATATGGCCGCCATCGTTAGACACTACGGCCAATAGGGTTGAAGCGGCAGTGCTCCCCTGTGTCTGGACCTGACTTTGTGTGACAATAACCTGACCGGTCGCCCCTGCCATCAGAACGCCGCCCTCCGAGAAGTAATGGACGAGCTGAACAGGAAGAACCAGGAGCTGAAGGCACGGGTAGAGAACTGCCACTGCCGCTAGACGCGGCCGGCAGCGGACAGGCGACCGAATCGGCACTCACACGATCCCGCACGCTCCAGAGAGCCCCGATGGGCCTCTCTCCGTCTCACTCTCTGCTACTCTCTGTCTACCTGCAACCCAGCCAGTGTTCACCACCGCGCGCGGCCAACGAACTCCGCTCACTGCAAAATCGCGTTCCGTGGAAAGAAAGTGCTCTGCTGTTGTAATAAATAAACCAATCTTTCGGACCCGGCGTACATCAATGTAGTTGAAGGCATTTGGAACGACCCTAGGGCACTGGTTTAGCTGATTGAGATTAGTACCCTAACCATACGCTACATTTACAAATGTAACGCCGTTTAAGTTCGCACGCATACTACTTTGGCATATCAGTCTTAGGCGCCGTGAATCAATAGCGGAGGATTGCAGATTGTCTTCATAGGTCTCGGTGATTCTAAACAATCAAATTTTGTACCCTGTCTTTCGCATGTCCGTGGGCCTTAACCCCAGAGGGTGTCATCTGTAATGTTCCTTACTTGTACGGGAACCACTGAAGTCGTCACTAAGAGGAGAGGTTTGCTTGCAGTTTGTTTCGGTTGGGTGTGCTTTACTGCCATGTAGGTGTAGGGTTTCACAGCTAGCTTTCCGCATAGTGTCAAACGGGTAACATAAGCAATGTTTGCGGATTAGAAGTGAACGGGTTCGGGAAATATCCAGTTAGAAGTAAGAGTTTATTCTTGTATCGGTAGCATAAGTCAAACATTGTATCACTGACGTCGCGTTAGTGTGCAACCAAAGTCGCGTCAAACGCTTTATTATAGTTAAGGAGGACGGTGTCGAAGGGCGGCTCTGAGCCCGCGCCGGTGGGGTGTTGCGGGGGTTGAGGCGGGTGCCGTGACCACTCTGTCCCGCCGGCTCCACTGGGCCGCGGACCGCGGTAGCTGTGGCCGGCGGCAGGGACGGCGGCCGGCGCCCTCACCGTCCCACTCCCACCGGCTCCGGCCAGGACCGAGCCTTCGGCGGCGAGACCATGTGATTTCTCTGTGGTTCCCGGCGCAGTCCCCACAAAATGTATTTTAAAACGGGACCGCCTCATCTTGTTACCAATGTCGACATACATGTCGTCGGGTGTAAAACGGTGTCATTTGCCGGCGGCAATTCGTGTGCACTAGAATAGTTGCGTTGGTGGGTGCTTAGGTTATGATTAGTATTAAGAAGTCATCATCCATGGTCCTGTCTAGCCTGCCACAAACACTTGTGAGCAGCTACTAATGAATACCTGCCAGACTGTTCCAAGGAGCTAGTTATTACGGCCATAATTTAGATGTTAAACCAAGGACACCAGTGGATGATGACTGTATCTGGTTGTTCGATGTTGCTCAAGCAGGCATCGGTACCTTGCTGCTTCTCTGTTGCTTTCCTTCTTGTAGCTGTGCTGTCACGGGAAACCAGGCTTAGGTGGCGGTGGGTCGCGGGTCAATAAAAGACATTGGGAAAAAGGCTTCACCTTTGGCTCAATTTCACCAAATCAGAACATCATGCCTGACCACCAGTGTCGGGTACTAGCTGACTCGACCCGCTCCGCCGACCTGCGGCGGCGGGGCGTGACCTGCCGACCTGACCTGCTGTTGACCTGACCCGGCACGGCTGTCGACCAATGAGACGCGGCGCGGCGGTGTCGGCGCGGCCGGTGGGGGCTGTGTCCTGCTGTTGGCCCCGCCAGCCGGCTCTGTACGGCCAGCAGGAGCCGCCTGGGCGTGTGTGTCACGGTGTGTGTGCACACTGCACGGGCGTGCAGGTTGTTGTGTGTCGTGTCAGCTGCTACTACAGTTTGCCACATGTTGTGGACGTGTGGGACCCCACCAGCACACCTGAGGGCAAACTAGGACACTCCCTTTGGCCAGGGAACCAGACAGGAACCAGGGAAACACCGGGTCAGAACCAGGGAACCCCTTCCGTGCCAGAATCCTACCGGGTTGGGACCTGGGAACCACAAGATCAGAAAAGGATCGGGTCAGCACCAGGGAATCACTGGGCCAGAACCAGGGAACCAACGGGTAAGAACCAGGGAATTACCGGGTCGAAATCAGGAAACCACTGGGCCAGAATCAAGGAACCTCCCGGACGGAACCAACGGGGACCACCGGACCAGGGCCAGTTTTCTGAACCAGGGCCAAAGAGACCACCAGACCGGGCCAGAGGAGACCAGCACACCGGGGCCAGAGGGGCCGCCAGACCAGTGTCGAAACCGCAGGAGACCACCAGTCACACACTGCTGGGGCCGGGTGTTCCGGCAGTCCACCTCCACCGCCCGGGTTCCTGTACCCCGAGGTCGGGTCACCGGGTAACCCAGCTGTCTGGTGGCGCGCCCTCCCTCCTCCGGCGGCGGCCGGCTGCTCCCCGCTCAATATGTCGTGCAGTCTGTGTGGTGTCGGTGGTCGGCGCTCTCGCCCAGTGAAATACACGCCGTGTGAAGCCGCCGAGAGTGTCAGACGGAGCCAGTCACCCGGAACTGAGTCCGACTTCCTCCGAGGGGAACTGCGCCACACCGGGCGCCGGGGGCAGAACGAGCTGAGAGGCTCCAACTCCGGCCGAGAGCCGGGAGCCGCCGATAGGCAAATGTGGGAGAGGAGACGCTACCGGGGCCACATGCGCTATTAGTTGAAAGATACGAGTTACAGTGATGAATAGTTGGGATGCGTAAAATACGCCCACTCTCACCACCACTCGATTGGTAAGTTCCTTACCTATAGATTTGGCCATCCGGGTTCGATCCCCGGGCAATACACATGGTAATGCCGCTACCTGACCGCTTGGAACAGCCTGAGGGTTCCGGTTAGCGCCTTGGTCCACTGGATGTGGTGCTTAACCCGAACCAAACCAACCAACCACCACTCGAGTGGGACAGGGGGCACTGGGTCCAAAACTGAGACTCTGACAAGTGACACCTTGGTCGCCCTGACAGCTGACAGCTGTCGAGCTGACAGCTGGGGGTATTCTAGCCGCATTGAAACTACTCGTCGCTGAAGCCTTATCTTGATACCAATAGCATATACAGAGTCGATGTGAACTGGGGCACCGGGTACGTCAGCCAGGCTCACCCGTACTGCGCCGTTCTTCGCAACTTCGCGTTCAATACAGCAATTTGCAAGTTGTTAAATAAAGTTGATTGTTAGTGGCTGAAGTTGCAACGAGATAGCAGTTAACTATAATATTTCTTTTAGAGAGGAAATCGCCTGGAGTAGTCGACAAAGGAGATTATGATGCGCCAGTCACGGACAGCTTGTTGAAAAGTGTTCAAAGTCGTGTCAGCGAATGCCGGCACAGCGGGAGACCTGTTCGGATGTTAGACGCTAGTTGAGTGAGATCTTCGGTCCAGCGTCATCGACCAGCAGTCCAATGATCAAACGACTGTAAATTTCCTCGCCAGTGACCGTGCGGGACAAAATGGCGCATGAGCGTCATTCGCTTCTGTAGTATACCCTCTGCACCGTTTTCCTCATTGGTACGATTTCGGGCACGATAATGTACCATACTCGGCAAAATATGAGAACACTGACAAGATAAAAACGAATGAGAACGTCCCTCAATAAGGAGCTATACTTATGTCTATGTTTCGATGCCAGATTTCCAAAGATCCGAGTCACGAATGAATATTTGCATTTAGCTCAACATTTCATAGTCAAGTCACAGCGGCGCTCTATGAACATGGGACTATAAAATCACATTACGTAGATATTTCGCGTAAAATACAAACGAATATATACGAATTTGAACACAATAAAATGCAACTTTAAATGCATACAAAATAACATCACATAATCGACATCAAAGCATCGCCTATTTGCTTCCACTATAGCTTTAGCAGCTTTCCACTTAAGCAGTATTCAAATCACATCTGGATAACACTGGAGTCACGTTTGATGAGCCAATTGGACCTCGCTGGCGACCAATGTTCGATAGGTGTCGGCGCTGGCTCAGTCGCGCCAGACGCCGTCAAAGACACCGCCCAGTCGCGATGGATGTCCGGTAATTTGGTGTGCTGTCAGACTGCGGTATCGGCGCAGTCGTGGGAGCGACCTCTGACGCCAGCCGCGCAGCCGCTGCTATCGATTTGTTTGTTTGTTTGTTTTGTTGGGTTAGGCCCTTTCGGTCCAATGAGACCATTTCAGAGCCGGGAGGATGATAGGATATAGGGGGAGACATTGGTCTGGGCAGGCACCCTAGTGAGTCGCCGGGGCTGAGCCCGTCCAGAGGACAGGCCACCCAGCCCCAAGGCACTCACTGCACCCGGCTACGGGGTGCGCTCCCTCGGGAGCAGCGGTGCCGCTCCAAGGGAGCAGCCCGCATGAGATAAATTTGCCTGTCCAGCCCGGAGGGGGGTTGCGGCGTGGAGGAGAAGGATTTCAGTATCTTGAGGATAGAAGCAGGGAACGGTGCTGCTATCGACTCGGCGGCTCAGAGTCAGCGAGTCGCACTGATGAGTTTGTAAGTGTCTCGACTAAGTTGCACCGGTCCCCCGACTCAATTGTCTCCGAGTCTCCCGGCTCGGCTGTCCATGAGTCTCCCAACTCAGGTGTACGAGTCTCCCATTCGAATTGTAAGTCTCTGAGCTCATTTACACCACTCTTGGCTAAGTTGTACGGACCTCTCGGCTCAGCTGTAAGAGTTGCCCAACTCAGATATCAGTGTCTCCGAACTCAGCTCAAGTGTTCCCCAACTCAGCTGTCTGTGTCTCCAAACTCAGCTCAAGAGTTCCCCAACTCAGCGGCGCGAGTCCCCCAACTCAGCTGTCTGTGTCTATCGGCTCAGCTGCCGGCCACCACCGCCCCCTCGAACAACTCGAGCAGCCGTTTGAGCTCACGCACCTGTACGACCAGTGGGTGGACCTGCTTCACGGCCTTGTTCAGCTCCTCGGTCTTGGCCATCAGCTGATACATCGCCTGGGGGCAGACGGAATAACATGAACCGCACGGTACACCGCGACCGAGCATAGCGTCCCGCTCACAGCTAAACAGGAAACCCGGTATTACCCCAGACTATGTTACTAGCATAGCACGTGAGAAAGACCTAAACGAATAAAAAGATCGTGTGACGCACACAGTAATACGAAGGATATGATCCTTTATTTGTTTTATTCATTCGATGAACCGCCTACAGACAATGCTCATTACCAGAGATGTAAACAAAAAAGTTTCCAAATAACTCTGAAAGATATTAGAAACATACAAGAAAGAAAATCACGGATAGTCCAATGCCACGCAAATACCTGTGGCAGTGGAAGCCGCTGCATAATGCGGCGATGAAAAGGGTTTCATAAGGAGACAGATGGCGGTGGATATTGTACTTAATCAACTAAGGTCGCTGGTTACCGGACCTGGCGAACAGCACTTGTCGCTGCCGGGAACTTTAGTCAACAAACTCAAAATGATGAACTGGTTCTTATTCAGCGCCTTACAACGAAAATAGAACTGTGGGTAGCATGTGTTTTGTCGCGTCATTTCAATCAATAGGGGGAGGGATAGAGGAGGAGAACGAGCCCTCCTGAGAATAGGCAAAAATAGCCCGTTGGAAGGAATGCAAAATAAAGAGAAAAGGTGTCTATTTGTGTCTGAGAACTGCCATAAGCAGGCATTTCATCAAATGAATCCATAAGTAGCTGTCTTTCTTTTAAATGATTTGGCGTTTAACAAAGAAGAGCATAAACGTAGCCCCATCTACATAGACGAAAGACACAAAGGAAAGTGTGGGTCAGGGAACGTTGACCAGAAGCCACGAGCTTGATAATATGGCATGACAGTACAAGAATGCAGTATGTCAGCCCAGGAATGACTACTGCAGTGTCCATGAAGAGTGAAGACCCCGCACCAGAGCGAGCGCCACTGTCAAGCAATACATAGTCGTGAAATCCTGGTGCAATGTGCGAACTATTCGTAACGTGCGTAAACTAGTCGTGAACTATTTGTGTCATCAATGCGTGAAGTAAACTTGACAGTCTCAGTGGGAAGGCACGGTCACTTTGCGATGCCCACCGATTCGTGAACATGTCGTGAACTTATCGTGAAGTCGACGTGAGGTATTCGTGAAATGTTCGTGAGTCGTGACAGTTCGTGACAGTCGTGGCTTGTCGCACATTGTCACGCATGTGCACGCATTTCCTGCATCGGCCCAATGAGTTCACGAGTTCACGAACAGTTAACGAATAGTTCTTGCGACTCGGTCGCGAAAATTTGACGGGAACAAAATTTTTAACATTTCGAAATTATCGCTCCGACATGCCATGCATTAACGAGTTAACCCACACTTCACCGTCAGTATACGACTAGTTTACGCACTGACACGACTCGAGTCGTGCCTTTAAATCGTGAAGTGTCAGCCTGGCTTAACCGACAAGACAGCTTAGCATTGCTCGGAGAAGGGGAAATGCATCCGAGACGGTGTTCAAAAAATGCACGTCTAACTCAATGCACACATCTGTTGCGATAGCCTTGAAAGCAGACTGCATACGATCATATTCGGACTAGACCAACCATACGAGCCCCACGGTTCCGTGAGATCTGCATCGGAGATGAACCGGTTGTGACCATAGTAACACAGCCATTTGGGAGCATACATAAAGATGCCACGCGATTGCTGCACGTGCAAGCATCCAGGGAAAATAAATGGAACGCGCATCATATCGCATCAGATGTGGCTTCTCGTTTTATTATAGCGCTTGTGAAATTGGTTCAGGGAGTAAGCTCCGTTTTCGGAGCTGTATCAAAGGGGATTTGGACAACGAATAAATGAGCAAAATCGATCTCCATAAAACACAAGCAAATGATTTTTGCAAAGGTACCATCTCTACATTTATATGTCATTTCGGGCTATCGGCAAGCATGTCTGATGCTAACATGAATGTTACCGAGAGACAGATACTGTTCAAAGACAAATTGACCATTCGGCGATTACGTAATGCTTGGGAGTGTTCACTGTTCAGTGTCGGAAAGGAATGGAGTAGACTTTTCTCATGTTATCGATGCAAGAACAACTTAAAATATACAGAATGATATAACCTAAGTATGTAAAGTCCGGCTTTTGATATGTAATGTCATAAACTCATCACTAGCGTTCAGTAATTCGTCCATCAGCTCAGCTGTTCGCGGAGCGTCGGACTGCAGAACGTGACAACCCAGGCCCCATTCCCATCGTTGCTCGATATAAGAGACGGGGATGTTTTGCGATTGGAGGCAGCAGTCTGTTAAAATCAGAGTGACTAAAACCGACCGTCCTTGACTGGTAACTATGGAAGCTATCAGGGCAAATGCAAGGCATTGACTTCAACGCCTGCCGACACCCAGAACTTAACACAAATCAAGCTGCCATCATACCATTCCGACCGTCTCACACAGGGAACAATCCGAAACCCGGCATAAACTCGATTTCGATGGCGAGACGCCTTTGGGGCGACGAACGAGCGAGCGCAACAGCACCTAAATCGGGTCCCAGTATCCACTGGTAAGCGAGAAGCATTGACAGAAGACCCTGGTCTCACATTCCGGCCGCCGTCACTCGCCAATTACCTTAATGTTGGCATCCACGCTGTCGCAGGTTTTGCAGACGGCGTCTCTGTAGGCCTCCATGGAGTCGACGGCCAGCGACGAGATGCTGTACATGGTGCCGGTGAGGCTCTCGATCAGGCCGTCGGCGGCGGCGGCCAGCCGGCGGGCGTCCCGCTCCAGTTCGTCCAGCAGCGCGGCGGAAGGGCGCAGCGGCGACCCGCGGCCGGCGCCCTCGGAGGGGACTGCCGGCTGCTCCGGGGTGGCCGGAGACAGGTCGGGCGACAGCAGCGTGTCGCTGCCGCACCCCAGCGCGCTAGAGCGGCCACTTGAGCCGCCCGAGCCGCCGAACGGACAGATCTCCGAGTAAGAGGTGGTCATCAGCTGCCGCAGAGAGACAGGAGAGCGGGCGTGAGAGTATGAACGAGCAGCGAGACGCAGACTGACATTCTAACAACAAATTTGAAGGTATTATTGAAGTGATTATAATACAGCACAAACAAGAGATATTAGCCAGCTTACACTGCTGCATGTCTTAAAAAAATACATGACACACCACCCTGAATCTTCCATAGCCAGACAACAAGAGCCAGTCAGCTAACACCTGGGCTAAAACATGGTAAGATAGAGCACCCACCCTGTCTGGCCGCGCCTCCTCGGCGGCAGCTCTGTCCGGCCGCGTCTCCTCCACTGCTGTCCTGTCCGGCCGAGTGTCTGCCACGTCCACTGTGTCTGCAGTCTCCGCCAGCTGCTGTGGCGGACACGGTTCCGCGGCAGGCGCTACTGCGGGCGCCGCGGCGACCCCCGACTGGTCGACAGAACGGCGCACAGGAATTGGAGGCGGTCTCCTCTGCATCGTGGAGCTAGGAGCTCATGCAGAACTTCTGTGAATGATAGGAGTTTTATCACAGTGGTTCTGAATTGTTTTATTGTTATTACTTTTCTCCATGCTAGCTAGCTAATTTTAAAATGCACTCAAAGAATGAGTAAAACTCTACGTTAAGCTAAACATGGTGTTCAGAGTAAATTTGACAGCTTCTTTTCCTCTCTTGTTTCAAAACCCATTGGAATATAATTGATCTACTATAACCGCATTCTTGATTTATAACTGCAGTATTGAGCAAATTTTGTTGTTTGCAATTGAAAAAAGTGTAGCTGAGCTAGTTGATTGGAGCCCACCAGAATGTCGAAAGTTGGAAAAGAATGATAACCACCATAATAGGCTGTACTGGTTTTCATGTCTATCTCGTGATGATTGACAAATGCTCTTTGAATGCTAGAAAGACCACCCGAGTGGGATTAAAGGACTGTACAAGAAATGTGAGAGCTTTGGATTGTAAGAGGTGGCACAGAGACTGCCTGCTCAGTGTTTGTTTCAGTGCCCAGGCCACAGGGCTTGTCACCTGGCAAAACCCCTTGCTCAATGAGCAGTCAAAACTTTATCCTATCTGGGATGAACAGTGGACCTCCTAACTCTACAAACAGCACCTGTTATGAAACCACTGCCACTTCTTGTTTGATGTTCATGAAATAGGTGCTGCTTGTTTGGTGTAGATGAGTGAGAAAGACACCACATTTCCTGTTCTATTTTCTAGCACCAAAGCTGAGGGTGGGTAAATGTGAAGATGAAGTCCACATAAATAAAAAACATAATCGGTATCAGTAGAGCTGGTCTCACCATCAGCGTATATTCCATAGTAGGAGAGAAACTGCAGGTTGGCTGTAAAAGGTAGGCTGTAGGTTGCAGGTTGGTAGGTTGTATGTTGCATGTTGGTAGGTTGTAGGTTTGGTTAGGTTAGGTTAGATGCTCCGACAGTGACACCAGCTTTACTGATACCTACCATATAATCTAACCTGACCTAACCTTTGTCCTTACGGATTTTTAATTCGGATAAATCACTTTTTCACGCTGGTGGGCGATTTTCACCCAATGAAAAACATAGGTACTGTTGGGCAGGTGCTTCTTTTCAAAAAAGTTAAAAATATGAATTAATTTTTGTTTTGATGTTCAAATTTGACAATTAGGTATGTCCAAGGCTGGTATGTCTGAGACTGAGTTTGCTCTGAAAAAAGCAAAAAGTGTTCAGGCCATACAATTAGAGGCCCCAGCAAATATTAACCGCAGACTCACCTCATAGTCATAACAACAATGTAAATTGATCTTATTATATATTCCTAATCATATTATATAACTATAATTATATCTCATTATATATCATATTCCTTCCTAACTGTAACGTCTGTGATGACACTTCATAGGTCAAAATAAAAAGAATAATGTTCTAAAACAAATTCTCGAACTCGCCAACGCATCTTTCTGCTAAGTGAGCGAATTTTGAGCGAATCAACGCGTTAGTTTACCAAAAATACTGATGCACGCAAAGCAAATGAACAGGTAAGTATAAGCCATGTTTGAAACTAGCAGTCCAGAAATGGCGCAAAACGTTTACTACCATATTCCTTTACGAAGTATTTTTGTACTAATACTAAAAAGACGGCAGAGCATTTTGCGTGAGCGACCACTTCCTTGAGCAGGACCGCCGGATAAAGGCAGCTAGGGGGGGGGGGGGGGGGGTCTGGGCAGACACCACGGTCTGCGATAACCGCGGCTTACTTCGTCCAGGGCCGTGACGCTGCAGCGCGCTGCGCTGCGCCGTATTGGCACGACATTTGAGCAGCACTCATGCGGACAGCCAATAGACAGTTCGGGTCTCCCAATAATGTATTGACGAGTAGTAAAGTAATCTTGTTGACGCCTGCGCTCCATAAAAACAACGGAAAATCACATCGGGTATCATCACATAGTTTGACAAGATTCCAGGACCTATTTTGAGGACCTCCGCACGATTCTCTTTGCACAACAAAAAGCATCTAACAAAAGTATCAGTACTTCATGCAGAATCCCTACGATACAGCAAAAGCATGTACATCGAGACTGAATGCTGAGCCAGTCGACTCCTGGACCGCGCGCAGCCCTCTGACTGTGGCGCCTCTCCCGTCGCCAAGCTCGTGCCTGTGATCCCTTATCTTCTTCCAGCCTAACACTCGGACAGGGCAGCCACGCCCGGAAGCACTTTACCTGAAAACGGACAGCAGCGAGTTAGGACAAATGAAATGCACGGCACCATACAGTATGCACTTAGCTGAACTTCTACCATGAATGAGTGAACTGAAACAAACCAGACCATCTTCGATCCATCCCACAAATTCACCCACCCAACAAACTGATCAGCCATCCACTGCCCTTCCAAACCCCACCATCCACCCACACCCCCACCCCTCCACCACCAGCCCGTCACCGCAGACTGACCCTCGAGCAGCTCGAGGCTGGCGCCGCCGCCGGTGCTGACGTGGCTGACGGCCTGTTCGGTGCCGTATTTGGCGCAACACGTGGCCGTGTCGCCGCCGCCGATGATGGTGGTGGCGCCGGACGAGGTGGCCGCCACCACGGCCTTCATCATGGCCTGTGTGCCGGCGGCGAAAGGCGACAGCTCGAACACGCCCGGCGGGCTGCCAGGAGAGGGAGACGGGTTAGTCAGTGACGCGAGGTCGCTTATCGACGACACATTAGCGACACAAGGTTGCTTACCGACATTGGCCTACGTTGATTACTTTATCCTGACATGATGACGTGCAAACTTTGCAGCAAAAACACTTCAATATAGGTGCAACTGTGTGGGGTCCTGCTTTAATGCCACTCGCTTGACCATATGAGTTAGAGCAGCGAGCTTCCACTGAGCTCAACTGAATCTGACGTCAATTCGGCACGCGGAACGCACCAATCGTTATAAGATCAACCCAAAAATTTAGGGCAAATAAGTTTTCACGGGAAATGAATGTGGTTTTCGGAAGTGAAGCCAGCGGTACAATTTAAACTCAACGCCATGCGGAAGTCTGAATGAAGCGACCACCTCAAATAACAAAATATCGTTTGGTAAACTGAACTATTAAATGACAAATCATCCAATCACCTATCCTACCTATCGGCTAACTCGTAAAGGAATGCACTAACCCGTTCCAGACGATAGTCTTAGCCCTGGCGATGACGGGCTCGAACGCAGCCACCGACTTGGGTCCGACGTCCAGGCCGAGCCAGCCGTCCGGGATGCCGCCCTCAACCGTGGCAGAGCCCACCTGGGGAAGGGGGGGGACATGTTCAGCAATATCACAACACAGCACAACACAGCAGCCAGCCGCCCGGGAGGCCGCCCTCCACCGTGGCAGAGTCCACCTGGGGAATGGGGAGACGCGGTCAGCGATATCACAACACAGCACAATATAGCACAATACAGCAGCCAGCCGTCCGGGATGCCGCCCTCCACCGTGGCAGAGTCCACCTGGGGAATGGGGAGACATGGTCAGTGCGCTTACACATAGCACAACACACCACAATACAGCACAAAACAGCTAGGGCCAGCCGTCCGGAATGCCGGCCTCCACGGTAGCAGAGCCCACCTGGGGGAGGGCGGAGATCACCGATAGAAACCTAGGGGCTGGGAGTGCAGGTGCGGTGTAGCACGCTACATCTTGAACATTTAACGTAGTATCTTTTCGGCACGGCTCGGTCCGGCAGTCCCCCCCCCCTCGCAGTCCGGTCACAGGCCTAGCCCTCCATTCACACACCCATCGCTGCTACCGGGTGACGCACAGCTGAGCGGAGCGCTGCTGCTGCGCTCTCCTCCCCTCTCATTATTCACTACCCCCCCCCCCCCCAGTCACCAGGCCCCCCATCCCCACTCAGCACTTTTCTCCAACTCCCCCCAACGAGCACTGTCCATGAGAATAGCCCGCAGTAGACACATCTGCGAGAAGACGATGCCGGTCACATCAGTACGAACCGTCCCGGCACAGCTGAGTCAACAAGCTACGTCAGAACTGCGGCGGCGGCGGCGAGCGAGCACGTTAAGGTACTCTGTCACTTGTCACGTACTCTGTCAGGTACCACAACAGCTGCGCCGCGCTGAGTCCCACGGTGGGAATGGCACAACCAGGAATATCCTACGGCAAGCAAAAACGCTGTAGTTCCAGAGGTCTTCGCAATGGGCAGCCGTTAAACTCTCATTACAACGCCCGCCTATGGAGACAGCTACCGCAGGATGAGCGATCCGAACCTCCTCAAATAACGCTGGATCAGTAAGATATGTCAACAGATCATGGAGCAGTGTCAAGGATAGATGCCGGCTGGAGCACACAGCCTCCTTTGTCGGGCACAGCAACCCAGGGTGAGTGACCCTGGCAAAACAACCGGGTGACCGACCTCACAATGGCCTCATGAGGTAGTTCCAGAGATCTCCGCAGAGGAAGAAGGCGCTGACTTACGGCCACACCCGGGACAGTGGGCGGAGCAAGAGTGACGTCACAAGGGGCGTTGGCGGCAGACGAAACGGAAGGAAACAAAAGTTTGAATAAAATAAAATTGAAGAATCAAAATTAAAACTCGAAAATCACAAACCTTTCGGGGATTGTTTTATGCCAGTGATTACTAAAATAATAAACCACTCAACACGAAGACGATTCGACGGCCAAAAATTGCAGGCACAGAGGAGCAAGGTGACTAAACAGAACAGAGGGCGCCATCTTACGGACCCACCCACCACAAGAAGACAGAGGAAGATGACGGCGCAAGGGCGTGGCAGTCACCCCCTCCCCCCAACTATAAAAGGGTGCGCCACCCAACCAGAGGGTTACATTCGAGCAGCCGAGAGTCACAGTCCACAGCTGGAGCCGGAGACGCCATCTGGGAGCCGCCGTCAGTCCGGGGTCACCCGCGAGAAGCCTCTTCGGTTCGACCGACCAGAGCCGGAGGACAACCGCCGACGCTTGTGACCACACTGAGAAGCGGAAGCGCAGAGAAACTCCAGAATGTGAGTGTTGTTGAAAAGTCTGCTCAATCCCAATCCTTGACCCCCCCCCCCCCCTCTGCCCCTTCCGTGCCGTGACGACTGCCAAACATTTTCGGTTGCCATAAAATGCACTCTCAATTGGAATTGGAAAACTTAAATTACTTTGAACTTATTGGTCCAGACACCCTAGTAGCATATTAGGATCTGAATTGTGAGGTCATGTCAGAGTCGCCAACAAACCGTTATTGTCTGTTGGGGTTCACGATTAGGCCGAGAGCGAGAGGCTAAAATTTGAATAAGCAGCTCATTGTCACGAACGTTGAGATTGATGACAGGATACGTGACAGCATTTAATATGTCTTTGTCTTTGGTCAAACTGGTTCGTTCGATTTATTGTCGGCGGTGGTCAGGTACGATTTGAGATTGGAACGTTTGTGAAATTAAGGATTTAGATTCGTGCTGTACTCACTAAAAGTTGCATTGCGAAATCATTGGTAATATTGCTGTAGGGATTAATTGCGAAGTCGAAATCAATTATAGAACAGGTAAATACGGTTGAAAAGGAATGTAATGTTTTAAGGTGACGACTGATTCATGCAATCGATCTATGAATATGGCTATGAGTTATGATTTTCGACAGATACGAATGCTTGAGCTTACGGCGGAATTTCTTCTGTTACATAGGTGCAGAGTTGAGAGTAGTGGTTTGAGGTCGACGGTTTTGACACTTTGCGACTTTAGATGGTCCTTGTAATTTGCGTCATTGAAATTGCGAAATGTCGAGTAATAGGTAGCTGTAGAATTGTTTGTGGTTAGAACTAATATGCGACTAATATTAGTACCGATCGTTGTGCTTCTGTAGAATAAATATTAGAAAAGACCATCTTTGTTGGGAAACGATTAAATGGGACAGGAATTTAATTTAAAAAAAAACTTACGTGGAATGGAGCTGATGAGATGTCGAACAGGGAGATATTGCAGCGATATTTTACCAGATTTACACTCATTGACACATCCGGTGAATCTACCCGGCCAGAAGAGACAACACGCACGAGCACTGTACCGCGAGTGTTGACGCGCCCATAACGGCGTGACGGTGACTGACGGTGTCGACGCGGCGCCGGCCGGCGGCCGTGGTATTCGTCGTCCCCGACGCGGGCGTTGAGCCGCCAGAGGGCGCGAGGAGCAACCACAACAGGGGCAGTGGGTTAGCCGTAATTGGGGCGCGTGCGGTAGGTGAAGGTCATCGTATAGAAACATGGTTAGTTGTGGAAAGTTGCAACGGGATAAGAACGTAAACAGTTAATGCATAATTTTAAATATGACATGCTTTATGATATCTAGGACTGCAGTTCGTTTGATGTGCATTGGTTACTGCGAATATAAGGATGATTTAAATTAGATTTTCTATGAAAGGCTAGGAACCCCTATGACAATATTCTGGCACTCTATAAAGATAATTTGTATAGGTAACTAGTAGCCCATCAGAAGCTATCGAACGAGTTTCAAGGAGTCATTTCCGTTTGAGCATTCAGTAATTTACTATGATACGGTGGATCACAACCAGACGACAGATCGGTGCGTACTAATTGGTGCTAGATCACCTGATTAAATCAAGAGCGGTTCAAGGTCGACTAGGATTGTATACGAGAACTGATGATTGGATTCACGTGTGCAGCAGAATTTATGACTTGAGATTACGATTTGGCTAGGATAAATAATGCGTTTCTATTATCCGTGTTCTTGCGAGTTAGCGCCAATCATTACTCCACCAATATTGGCATAGGGCATTGGGAGGCACAGACGGCTTGTTTGCCCGTCTCCTATGGCGTAATGTTTACCAGCATGACTGTATGAGACACAGATGCACTTCTCTAAACCCACGTCCAGACCGGAATGATAAGAGGGACACACCGTCACGTACGCAGGGCATATGCACGTTTTCCGCCAGTGGTACCGGCCACTGTTAATTTTCCCGCTTAGGTAACACTGGGTGAGAAGGCAGTGAGAGGTTTCTACGGCAGGGGGAGGGGGAAGATTGGCGCAGTATGCAGTGGAGAGTAAGTTATGCCAAAGGCAAGAAGCCGAAGGTCAGGGGTGAATCACCCAAAGGGCGGATAAAGCGAGCCGTAGTGTCCCGAATAAGTCCTCATACTTATTTCGTAAAGGTACTCTAATCGGTACTGGACAGCCTCAGGGGAGGGAAGAATGTACTCCAGGACACGTAAGGCCTTGAAGAGTAAATCCCATGGTTTAAGGATAGTTCCAGGATATGAACTGTGGTCCCTGGGTCGTGAACGGGAATGTTACACGCGGACCGGAAGAGGGCATAGGTAATCTCTCCCGGTAGAGAGATAAGTCGGATATAAATCGTGTATGTGTGTACCATAAGTCTATCGGACGTGTAGTGAATCCCATAAAACAGGAGGGTGGATATTTGTGCATAATTATTCTGGACAGCCCTGCGATAAGTATGTTTGTCGCCGGTTAGCGGAGCGTGCATATGGATTTCGGAAGAGACATTTATCTCGCCGGGGAGACCATGGTTTGTAAGACGCCTAACACTATCGGAGGGAATTTCGGGGGCTACCAATTAAATTTGGGTGAATACATGAAATGTGAACGTAATGCGAGCAAGGGTGTGAGAATGATGACGCATGAATCTTAGAGTAAGGCCGATAGGGATTGCGTAGAATTCGGTTACGGCAGTCGCGCTAACAACCCTCGAGGGCAACTAAACTATAGCGACGCTAATACGAATTAAGTGGGCAATTTTCGTAATGGGGAGGCCAGTGATATAGGAATGGGTGACTGGACGAATGATCACATTCAATTAATCAATGTAATTACCACCCATAAGTTTGGCAGTGGTCATCGGGACTTCGAATGCCCTGTCCTTCACCAGCCCAACTGTGCCGCAAACCCAGCTGATCGGATCCCTCTATCCCTAATCCGAGCAGTGAAGAAGCATCTCGTGCATCATGGTCTATACAATGAACAGAATCATCAAGCCTCTAAATTAAAAAGCATCTTCCATCAGATGTATTTGTATGCAAGGTGGATCTGGATCTACATCTCTATCAGGTGGATATCATCATCCATCTCAGCATCTTCATCACTATCTGGATCTATCTCAGGATCTCTTCAACGACTCTCAAGTTCCCCTGTATCACCAGCTCTACTATCGAGTTCCTTCCAGCAGCGAAATATTCTCTCTTCTGCTACAACCAGGCGAACGACAAAGGACCGCGGTGTTTGACGAACCGCAACGATGCAGCAGTGTTAACCGACGCCTTCTTTCCCTTCTTTCCCTTGCTACAGCGGCAGAGTGGGCGGGAAAATATTTACATAGAAATTTACAGGTTGGGCAACAGATGACTACGCAGAGCAGCGAAAGGTTGTTGAGTAAGCCAAAAGGCAAAGCAACACATAACCGGACTGAAAACAGCGAATGAACAGCAAATTTGACACTCGGACTCGGGTCTGTTGAAATATAAAGCATGAAGTAAAACTGGCCTTTATAATCACAATATCATTTTCGGGAGAAAAGTAGACTTAAAATTCCATTTCCATACGCTAAACTAAACGCTAGTTTGCCGAAATCGAAGGATCCACATCTTATACGTACGTTGGCGGCCTCGTCGAACTTGTCTCCGGTGACGAAGTCGACCGGCAGGTGAATCTGCACGTTGTTCGCCTTGGCCTTCTCCATCAGTTTGGAGACGATCTTGGCGCCCTCGGCGTCATACAGAGAGCTGCCGATCTGCGGCGACACGAGACACCACGGTAAGTCGAATAAGTACACATTGCAGGTGTGAGTCAACCACATGACAATTCAAAACACTGTGTGATCTGATTGCTGCAGCGTACAGTTATAATCAAACAATTCACTTCAGGGATACAATGTAATTAGGGCCGTAACATGCAACGGCCATTATGTTACAACCATGTAGCAGTATATGTTTAATACAACCAGCTTGTCGTCGATTGTAGAAAGTTCGTCGGATTAGCTTAGGTGAGATGCATACCACCACGACTAACCACAGTTGCCGCCGTTGAACATACATTAATAAATTTGTGCCTAAAAACGACCACAACGTAGACGTGTTCCGGGAATTTCAGAAAATACAAGTTCACTAACCACCGATGTTCCACATGCTACAAAAGGTTCCGCGTGTTTACCTTCATGCCGTTGAGCTCCTTGAGGAAGGTGAAGGCCATGCCGCCGCCGATGATCATCTCGTTGACCTTATCCAGCATGTTCTCGATCAGCTGGATCTTGTCCTGCACCTTGGCGCCGCCGAGAATGGCCAGGAACGGTCTGCAGACATCGGTACACCGCGTGACAGTACTTCAACATTTTTTTTTTATAGGATGCTGGATAGGAAATAAAGAACAAGAGAATGATAAAGATAGCACTAGTCGTCAAAATAGTATGGGTTACATGTGGTGTACCAGGGAGGGTATTGTTTGGGTGAATGATGAATCAGGCTAGTGCAGTTACATTGACCAGCCACCAGTGCAGCTCACATCCAACCATATCATGCATCTATATTATAGCTCACAACACCTCTCCCATTGTCATCAACGAGTCAGGCACACCCTCTAGATCTGCTCACCTCTCTGGCGACTCCAGCGCCTTGGCGAAGTAGGTGAGCTCCTTGCTGAGCAGGGTGCCGGCGGCGCGCTTCTCGAAGCCCTCGCCGAGCATGGAGCTGTGCGCGCGGTGCGCCGTGCCGAACGCGTCGTTCACGTACACATCGCCGAGCCGGCGGAGCGACTGGCGGAACTCGGCCGTCTTGGCCGGGTCCGCCTTCACCTGGAGACGCAGACAGACAACCGTCAATGTCTCGGGACACCTGGCACTACAGGCAGGCAACTGTCAATACCTTGGACCGTACCGGCAAACACACACAAATCGTCGAAAATTCACATCTCTCAAGGCAGACACACAATCGTCGGCGTCTCGGGACACTTGTTAGCACAGACGGACGGCCGTCAATGTCTCAGGTTAACGTTTAGCGCAGGTACAAGGCGCCAACACCGAAGGGGCATACGGTAACGTCAGCCATCGTCACTCGTCAATGTGCCATGCTTCATAGGGGTCTGTGTTATATCAACCGAATGAGGGGTATTTTGGTAGACTAGGGTTTTGGGACAGACATTGTGAAGTGCTTTGTGTGACCCAACAAGCGGCATCTGCAGGCTGCAGGTCTGACCTTTTCGCCAGCTTCGTTGACTCCCTTGCCCTCCTCCTCGACGTGGTAGCGGAGGTTCTCCAGCAGGATGACGGAGCCGGCCGGCGGGTCCTGGCACGCCTGCTCCACCGCCGGGCCAACGCAGTCGTCTAGGAACAGCACCTCCCTGCCAAACACCGGACACTTCAGTGGACTGGGTTCAGGGGAAGAGAGCGGTACGTCAGGGATAAAGGCAGAACAGAACACTAGAGAAAGCACGTCCCTGCCACACAGCAGACACATCAGTGTACTGGGCTCGTGGGAAGAGAAGAATCAGTCGTGGTTAAAAGCCGAAACAAAAACACGGGGAGAAGTGTCAGCTATATGGCCTTGGTGTCAGCTAAGAAGCAGTTTGAGTGCCTTTTGAAATGAAGGGCATTTGCATCTACAACCTAGTTAGATGTCGCAAATGCCATCCAGTCCAGCTCACCTCCCGAGGAGTTTGCGGAGCTCCTCCGCGACCGGTTTCATGGAGGCCTTCTCGCTGCGGCGTCCGTCCGGACGGCCCAGGTGCGACATGAGGACCACGCTCTTGGCCTGCTTGTCCAGGGCGTACTGGATGGTGGGCAGGGCGGCCACGATACGCTGGTTGTTGGAGATCTTGCCATCCTTCAGCGGAACGTTGAAGTCGACCCTGGAAAGGTGAGATAACTGTCAGTTATTGCTGCTTTTTACAAATTCATCATCATTTCAAAGCGTAATTTATTCACGAAACAAATGTATCCTTTACATCTACTTCCATCTGTGCCAGTTGTTGTTTACATATTACAGAATTTGACAGAGCTAGACTATGGCAATGGAATCTGTCATACCTAGAACAAAAAAAAAAGAAGACAAAACTATGGTTCTCAGCAGGGCTGCGGAGTCGGAGTCGGAGTCGGTCGGAGTCGACAGTTGTGACCGGAATCGGAGTCGGAGTCAGAGTCGATTTTAGAAACCCGAGCCGGAGTCGGAGTCACCGAAAATCCGTCGACTCCGCAGCCCTGTCAGGTCTGCGGAGTCGGAGTCGGGAGTTGGAGTCGGTCGGAGTCGACAATTCTGGCCGGAGTCGGAGTCGGAGCTGGTTTTTGAAAGCCGGAGTCGGAGTCGGAGTCGCTGAAAATCCATCGACTCCGCAGCCCTGGTTCTCAGTGTGTGGATCTGTGAACTCGGCGGTTTGCATTTCACTGCAAGTGCAAATCTGCAAAGCACATTTCTTCGTACCCATGTTATTTCGTCATGCATTAACCCTCGCCCGTATTGATGTTACTGGGGGGGGGGGGGGGTCCGTTGGACCCAGGGCTGCGGAGTCGGAGTCGGAGTTGGAGTCGGTCGGAGTCGACAGTTCTGCCCGGAGTCGGAGTCGCCAAAATCTCACCGACTCCGATTCCGGAGTCAGAGTCTGCATGGCTCAACGTCATGCACTGCACCTGTTTGATTGACGATACTGCGCTCGAAATTAGATTTTGTCGAAAAAAGGCCATCTTGCTATTTTGGACGAACGTTTTCAGCGAAAGAACCAGAAGACGGTGAATTCCCCAGAACCTGCTTTTTAATTCGGCACGTTAGTTAAAATGCATAATTTGCATATTTGCAACGCAAAGCCTTGGAACTTACAAGGGATCGTTCCAGGCGAGATAAAAACATCTCCATTATCAGCCATGATATGGATTTTAATAGAACCGTCCGGAGTCGGAGTCGGAGTCGGAGTTGGAGTCGGAGTCGATTTTTGAAGCCGGAGTCGGAGTCGGAGTCACCCTAAAATCCATCGACTCCACAGCCCTGACCCCCTTTGCCATTTGGCCCCTGATCGAGCTAGATCTTCGCGGAAAAAACGAGCGTGTTGTCCGTGACGACAGGAAGCCGATGGTACCCAATTTTAAGGTCCTAGGCCATAAGTTGACCTTCTATGTCAGGTCAGTGACCCGTAAGCCGGGAAAATCGGGATCTGTCAGAACTTGATAAAGTGAGGTCGCAACCCACGGCATCCCAGAATCAGTGAAAACGGACGGTGGCCCGCCCTTCAACGGACACGACTTTACCATGTCCGCGCGCTGGGCTGGCTTCACGCACCGCAGGGTCAGCCCCGAAGACCCAGAGGCAAACGGCCTTGCGGAGGCCTTTATGAAAATCATACAGAAAACATGACAATGACATACGTCCCGCATCGAAGGAAAAATCCCAAACAGGAGTTGTACAAACTCCTATGACAGTACCGCGCAACACCGCACCCCAGCACTGGAAAACTCCCCGCGGAACTACTCTTCAACTAGCCTTTTCGTACTCGGCTGCTGACAGCTGAGAGAACAACATCTAGAACACCATCTCATGACGTGCAGAAACACGACGCACGGGCAAAGAATGTGCAGAAGGCCTACAAGGACACCCCCAGGCCCCAAGAACGTGCGACCTCACAACAATCAAACAGGCGATACGGTTCTTCTGCAGAGCCGGTTTACCTAGACAGCCTCACGCTACGACCCAGAGCCCTACAAGGTCGCCCAGCTGAAGGGAACGTAAATCACCGCCACTCGCGGCGGATCTGCCCTCACCAGGGACTCGCAGAAGTTTAAACGGATCGTCCGTCTCCAGCGACCCAACTTCAAACAGCACCTTCCACTAGGCACTAACGCTGCATGGCAACAGCAAAGAACCGTGTCTGGGATCAAACCGGCAAAAGGCCTACCTCCTCAGCTACGGTCAACGGCGCGGCAGCGCCTCCACACGCTAAGTCTGACTTCTAAAACCTCCAGGACTGCGGAACTGCCCCTGCCACAGCCGACTGTGGACGCCCCGCCCAGCTGCCGGTCCGAGCTCGCCAGGTGCCCTCACACCTCTCGGAATAGGATCTCTCTTGAGCATGCGATGCCGCGCCCCCTTCCTTGACATATAATTTAAGAAGCACACATTTCGTTCACCACTGCATTAGTGGCCGCAGGTACTGGTGCGGCCATGCTGTCGTGCGGTGTTATCTGTTCGTCGTTATCTCAGGGAGCCTCTTTTTCTGTTTCGCCTGTGTTGTGAATAGCTGTAGAAGACTTGGTCCTCATACCTTCCTCATGCATGTTCATCGGCCAACATTTCGCGCTGCGAGTAGCCGCTAATTCGCATGTCCATAAAGTTAGCGTCGTATTCGTATTCGGATTCAAATTCGAGAAATGATTTCGCTCAAAATTGGCATGCAGATAGCCCATGGCACGCTGAGTTCGAAAATGGTGACCTTTTTTTCCAAGGTCAAACCGTTTGACCTTGAGAGGTCAAAATACTGCGTACCCTGTAGAATCTTTGTTTATGGTCCGATTTGAAAAATTCGACCACCAGTGTGTTCGTCTCATCAAGAAGCAGTAGCACATTCAAAAAAATCCGAGGTCAAGGTCATAGGTCAAGGTCAAGGTCACTTTAAAAGTCGCCGTACCCTATAAAATCTTCATTTTTGGAGCTATCGTAAAATTTCCCCCACCACTGTGTTCGTCTCATCGAGAAGCAGTAGCATATTCAAAAAATCCGAGGTCAAGGTCATAGGTCAAGGTCAAGGTCACTTTAAACGTAAATTTTAGTCCCCGTACCCTATAAAATCTTCATTTTTGGAGCTATCGGAAAATTTCCGCCACCACTGTGTTCGTCTCATCGAGAAGCAGTAGCACATTAAAAAAATCCGAGGTCAAGGTCATAGGTCAAGGTCAAGGTCACTTTAAACGTAAATTATAGTCCCCGTACCCTATAAAATCGTCATTTTTGGAGCTATCGTAAAATTCCCCCCACCACTGTGTTTGTCTCATCGAGAAGCAGTAGCACATTCAAAAAAATCCGAGGTCAAGGTCATAGGTCAAGGTCAAGGTCACTTTAAACGTAAATTTTAGTCCCCGTACCCTATAAAATCTTCATTTTTGGAGCTATCGTAAAATTTCCGCCACCACTGTGTTCGTCTCATCGAGAAGCAGTAGCACATTCAAAAAAATCCGAGGTCAAGGTCATAGGTCAAGGTCAAGGTCACTTTAAACGTAAACTTAAGTCCCCGTACCCTATAAAATCGTCATTTTTGGAGCTATCGGAAAATTTTTACCACCACTGTGTTCGTCTCATCGAGAAGCAGTAGCACATTCAAAAAAATCCGAGGTCAAGGTCATAGGTCAAGGTCAAGGTCACTTTAAACGTAAATTTTAGTCCCCGTACCCTATAAAATCGTCATTTTTGGAGCTATCGGAAAATTTCCCCCACCACTGTGTTCGTCTCATCGAGAAGCAGTAGCACATTCAAAAAAATCCGAGGTCAAGGTCATAGGTCAAGGTCAAGGTCACTTTAAACGTGAATTTTAGTCCCCGTACCCTATAAAATCTTCATTTTTGGAGCTATCGTAAAATTTCCCCCACCACTGTGTTCGTCTCATCGAGAAACAGTAGCACATTCAAAAAAATCCGAGGTCAAGGTCATAGGTCAAGGTCAAGGTCACTTTAAACGTAAATTTTAGTCCCCGTACCCTATAAAATCTTCATTTTTGGAGCTATCGGAAAATTTCCGCCACCACTGTGTTCGTCTCATCGAGAAGCAGTAGCACATTTAAAAAATCCGAGGTCAAGGTCAAAGGTCAAGGTCAAGGTCATTTTAAACGTTAATATTCGGATTCAAATTCGAGTCATGATTTCGCTAAAAATTGGCATACAGATAGCCCATGGCACGCTGGGTTCGAAAATGGTGACCTTTTTTTCCAAGGTCAAACCGTTTGACCTTGAGAGGTCAAAATACTGCGTACCCTGTAGAATCTTTCTTTATGGTCCGATTTGAAAAATTCGACCACCAGTGTGTTCGTCTCATCAAGAAGCAGTAGCACATTCAAAAAAATCCGAGGTCAAGGTCATAGGTCAAGGTCAAGGTCACTTTAAAAGTCGCCGTACCCTATAAAATCTTCATTTTTGGAGCTATCGGAAAATTTCGACCACCACTGTGTTCGTCTTATCGAGAAGCAGTAGCACATTAAAAAAAATCCGAGGTCAAGGTCATAGGTCAAGGTCAAGGTCACTTTAAACGTAAATTGTAGTCCCCGTGCCCTATAAAATCTTCATTTTTGGAGCTATCGGAAAATTTCGACCACCACTGTGTTCGTCTCATCGAGAAGCAGTAGCACATTCAAAAAAATCCGAGGTCAAGGTCATAGGTCAAGGTCAAGGTCACTTTAAACGTAAATTTTAGTCCCCCTACCCTATAAAATCTTCATTTTTGGAGCTATCGGAAAATTTCGACCACCACTGTGTTCGTCTCATCGAGAAGCAGTAGCACATTCAAAAAAATCCGAGGTCAAGGTCATAGGTCAAGGTCAAGGTCACTTTAAACGTTAATATTCGGATTCAAATTCGAGTAATTATTTCGCTCAAAATTGGCATACAGATAGCCCATGGCACGCTGAGTTCAAAAATGGTGACCCTTTTTTCCAAGGTCAAACCGTTTGACCTTGAGAGGTCAAAATACTGCGTACCCTGTAGAATCTAAAAGTGACCTTGACCTTGACCTATGACCTTGACCTCGGATTTTTTGAATGTGCTACTGCTTCTCGATGAGACGAACACACTGGTGGTCGAATTTTTCAAATCGGACCATAAACAAAGATTCTACAGGGTACGCAGTATTTTGACCTCTCAAGGTCAAACGGTTTGACCTTGGAAAAAAGGTCACCATTTTCGAACTCAGCGTGCCATGGGCTATCTGTATGCCAATTTTGAGCGAAATCATTCCTCGAATTTGAATCCGAATATTAACGTTTAAAGTGACCTTGACCTTGACCTTTGACCTTGACCTCGGATTTTTTTGAATGTGCTACTGCTTCTCGATGAGCCGAACACAGTGGTGGCGGAAATTTTCCGATAGCTCCAAAAATGAAGATTTTATAGGGTACGGGGACTAAAATTTACGTTTAAAGTGACCTTGACCTTGACCTATGACCTTGACCTCGGATTTTTTTAATGTGCTACTGCTTCTCGATGAGACGAACACAGTGGTGGCGGAAATTTTCCGATAGCTCCAAAAATGAAGATTTTATAGGGTACGGGGACTAAAATTTACGTTTAAAGTGACCTTGACCTTGACCTATGACCTTGACCTCGGATTTTTTTAAATGTGCTACTGCTTCTCGATGAGACGAACAAAGTGGTGGGGGAAATTTTACGATAGCTCCAAAAATGAAGATTTTATAGGGTACGGCGACTTTTAAAGTGACCTTGACCTTGACCTATGACCTTGACCTAGGACTTTTTTGGATGTGCTACTGCTTCTTGATGAGACGAACACACTGGTGGTCGAACTTTTCAAATCGGACCATAAACAAAGATTCTACAGGGTACGCAGTGTTTTGACCTCTCAAGGTCAAACGGTTTGACCTTGGAAAAAAAAATCACCATTTTCGAACTCAGCGTGCCATGGGCTATCTGCATGCCAATTTTGAGCGAAATCATTACTCGAATTTGAATCCGAATACGAATACGACGCTAACTTTATGGACATCTAATTCGCCATGCTCCAACTCCCTCCATACCAGTAAAGCGCCTTGAGGGGCGACAAATGGAGCGAGCGAGTGTGGGCCTTGCACGTGCGAAATTTCGAGGTGGTACCTCTAGCTGACTTTTGTGCACTGTATCCGACTAATCAGTCTCTAGCGAAGTGCCAAATTTGAGCGCAATCGTCCCAGCCGTTCTCGAGATCTGGAAGCGGCACCCTGCACGTGCGCACGTGCAAAATGGGTCCCAACTCATAGGCGGCGGAACGATTTGAGACAAGGGGGGGGGGGGGCACCAGCTCAAGGAGCCAAACCTAGGGTACCCCCAAATCCTGTTTTCTCATCGGATTTAGGCCACTTATTTTCCGTCACAGCCCTGACACGATGATTTTTTTATTTTATTTTTTTTTACTAAACGAAAATGGCAGTTCACTCCCGTATGTGTGGTTAACTTTAAGCTGATCCTCAAGTACCTATGTGTTTGTCTCTCCCTTATTGTCGTTTGATAAATTCCATTTATCCTACATGTATCAAATTCCCAAGAAGTACTAAATACTAATCATTGGCGAATCCCAGGGGGGAGGTCACATGGGTCATGACTTAGGGCCTGGGGTCACCACATGCCTGCCAGGAGCACCACAGGCCTGACAGCCGACAGGGGCACCACAGGCCCGCCAGGGGTACCACAGGCCTAGCAGGGGCACCACGGGCCTGTCAGTGGCACCACAGGCCTGTCAGGAGCACCATCGGCCTAGCAAAAGCACTACAGGTCTTCCAGGGGCACCATAGACCTGCCAGGGACACCAGAGGCCTGCCAGGGGCACTATCGGCTTCGCAGGGGAACCACCGGCCTCGCAAGGGCACCATGGGCCTGTCAAAGGCACCACAAGCCTGTCGTTGGCACTTTAGGATTGTCAGGGGCACCACAAACCTGTCAAGGGCACCTGCGTTCTAACAGGGGCACCACAGGCTCGCCAGGGGCACCACAGACCTGCCAAGGCCCAGGGACACCACAGGCCTAGCAAGGACACCACAGGCCTGTCAGGGGCACCACGGGCCTGTCAGGGCCCATGGGCACCTAAGTCATGTCACAGGGCCCACCGTAGGCTTGTCAGGGGAAGGGTAGTTAGGTACCACAGTCTTTCCAGGGGCACCAGCGGCCTAGCAGGGGCACCAGTCATCACATGACTAACCAAAAATAAAGAAAATAAAAAAAACTGAAAATAGGGCACCACCAAAATTGAGTGGCCGAAATCCGTTGAGGTTTTAATTTTGGGTATATGTAGGTAGGGGCACCACTTCGATTCATGACCCTCCCCTTGGAGTTTTCCCGAATCCGCCCCTGGTACTAATACATCAAATTTAAGGGGGGCACCTTGCTATTGGTGCCCCCCTTGCAGAATTCAAGGGGGGCACGGTGCCCCGGTGCCCCCCCCCCCCGTTCCGCCGCCTATGTCCCAACTGACTTTTGCACGACACCCTACTAACCGGTCCCTAACCGCATACCAAATTTGAGCGCAATCGGTCCAGCCGTTCTCGAGATCTGGAATCGACCCCTGCACGTGCTGCAACACCCCAACTGTGGCACATGCAAATGCATTGCCTAGTGAGTGCCTACCTACATGCCAAGTTTCAGTGCAACCGGCCCAGTAGTTACCGAGATATTGCAATTATTACGAAACTGACACCTCTTCGTTTTGCACGTGGCACGTGCATAAGGGGTCACCCACATGCATCGGGAATAGTCCAATACTTGGTAGAAGGAATGAAGCTACCCTACAAAAATAACCGCATGTAAATCGGTCAAGTAGTTGCTGAGATATAAGCTTCCGACCGCTCATTATGGAGCGAGCGAAGCGAGCGGAGTCTTACGTAGAATAACGGAAATTTCTGAGTATGAGCGGCCGGCCGGCCGTGGTCACGCTTTTGCGACGCTATGCGCTGCAGCTCCTTGGCCCTGTTTCACGGCGGAGCGCTGCAGTGCGCTGCGCGCGTCGGTGCGTTGGGTTTCCATGGCAATATCAACAAACTTCCCTCTGACGCTACGCTATGACGTCATCGCAAAACGCTAGCACCACGGAGCCAGCACCATCCGCACATTAGCAGTATTCGCACTCAAACCTCTGTTCAATTGGTACTAGGTTCTTCAAGGTCTCTGTTCGAAACGCGATTTACCATAAGCTAACGGATCGCATGCAAAGCCATTCAAGTGACGTCAGGGGTATGCCTCAGCTCCCAGCGCAGCGCGCGCAGCATCGGGCGGTGAAACAGGCCCCTTGTATTCAGGGTATTCTCTTAGCAGACGTCGCCCCTGCTGCCTTATCTAGAAGGGTAGGTTGTAGGTTGGTAGGTTGTGGGTAGGGTAGGTGTTCTTGACCTGAGGAGGGACTGTACAATTGGACCCCAACGGTGCCTCAGTGTGTCAGTGTTGCCTCGCTCAGGTGTGTTAGCCTCTCAGCAATGGGCTGTGAATAAACGAGAGGGCAGATATCTTTACACCTGCCGTTACTAAGCATTGCATAAATGAGCATGGATCAACCCTGCGCCGGTATCCATGCCTATACACGAGGTCAGGGGTGGAGAAATATGCCGAGTTGGGGTTGCACGGGCGCAGCAACTCCGCCACCGCCCTAGTGTTGACCTTGACCTCCGCCGTTTGGTGCGGCTCCAAGGCCAAGCTGCGCAGCCGGCGTGGAATTGGGAAGACTTGTGCTACCCCAACTCGGCACAATAGTCCGCCTGTTTTGCGGACCTAAAGTAAATAAATACCCCATTGTCCAACCCTCCATGAGGTCCGAGCTCACTCACCTCATCAGAACCCTCTGACCAGCGAGCTCCAGGGCCTCAATAGAAAGTTTCTTGTTGAGTGACATGATTCTCAAAATGTAATACCCTGAGGTGCAAAATGGTTCCAGAAAACTCACAATAGACCACAAACCCCCTTGCCACAAACCAAGGCCACAAACTCGCCGGCAAACAGCGTGACGGAAATTGCGCGAGCTGGAGTTGAATGCCGCTGGAGACTGGAGGTCAGTGATCTGAAACAAACTTACTCAGAAGACGGTAGAATTCTTTGGTTGTTCCATTACTTCTTATGCGTTACCGCTGCATGACAACATGTCCTTTGACTTAAATGCACCAATAATAAAGGCAATGGTTTACCACCCAAGGTTTACCAGTTTGAGTTGGATTATTTTGAACCAAATTAAAGAAAAATAACCTTCCACCTCTAATCTACTTGGATTCTACCGCTCTTCTGGCGGATGTAAACTAGCCGGAGCAAAAAATTATGTTCCTCTTTGGAAGGTTGCCTCACGAGTTTGACCTTCTGATGAACTTGAACACTGGCAATTATTTTTCCGTTCCTTCTGATAAGCTATTGCATTGCAATTGCACTAGTAAATACGACTCGCGTTAAATTCTTTGAAAACTACGGAAGGCAGACTGCATTTTCATTGTCGACTCGCTGAACATTGTCAGAATCTTGATAAGTGTTACCGAGCTGTTAGGATGTTCAGACGTTTTGTAACGAACATAAAAATATATATGAAGTTGGAGGCATATTTTTGGATACTTTCTCCAGAGATGCACGTTCTTACACATTCTCTTAGTTGACATAGCCGAGCATAAAAGCATCACAAAAGCAATTCCTCTGCAGCACCTATCCTACAATTGCTACCAAATAGCACAATTTGACGATGTCCCCAGCTTGGAGTCAAGTTAATTCGCCGATCCTTGTGAACTGCCACTCTCGAGTCAGCGGTGGCGAGTGTCGGGTGATTGTGATTGTGCGGCGTGTCCTGCTGGGTGGGCGGGTGAGTTATCACTGAACTGAAACTTAAACCGTATAATTGTCATGTCTCTTAAATGAATTTCTTAGTTTAGGGTGGCTAAGGGCCGATTCTCGACGTTTCTGTGCCCTTAACCATTATGATTCTTGGCGCCAAAACCTGAACCGGTTTTGGTTTTAGTTGCTGATAGGTTTAAGCAAGTTGCTCACAGTTTCAAGATTCCCTGGACACTGCATGAAAGTAGAAAATTCGTGTATGATTAATAATGCTGTTTTTTTCTGCAATTTTCAAATGTGCTTACAGGCACTTCTTTGTTGATGACATCATTTCTTTCTCTCTTTAGCATGGCACCCACACCGGGGAGCGGTGCAGCTGCTCAAGTTGATAATTTTATTAAAGGAAACAAAGTTACCGTGTTCAGCAAGTCATGGTGTCCCTTTTGTGACAAGGTGAGTGAGCATTTCAGAAGCCTGGAAACAGCCTTATTCTCTAGGTTTTGTATCCTATCAGTGATTCTGATATTGACTTATGTATGTGGTGGGTAATGGTATGACAATGATGCACTGTGGTAGGTACTATCGGTCTCAAGATAAGGGACGCTGGTGAAAACAGGGCGCCGGAGGGCATATTAGTCAGATGACATTTGGAACTTCTCCCCCCTCCGCAGGCCTTCTACATGCTAAACGTCACGTGTGAATTTCACGAACCTTGATCAAATCGCCCCAGGCGCCCTGTTTTCACCGTCGTCCAAGATAAGGGCCCAGGCGTCAGGCGACCTGCAGTTCAGATGCGGTGAATACCATTACCCTCCCTACAACTTGGGGGGGGGGTGAGGTTGGGTGGGAGGAGGGGTGCTCTCGGCCCGAGCTGTGAGGAGGGTATGAGTATTCAATGCATCAAAACTACAGCCTACAGGTCGCCTGGGCCCTTATCTTGAGACCAATAGTATGTACATACCTATGGCTTATATACCTCTTTGGTATATAAGCTTCAACTGTTTCAACTGGGTAGCTTTGGTAGGTACCTACCCAGTTGAAACAGAAGGCTCCTGCTATCTCCAACAATGTCTGAGAAATGAGAATCTGATGACAGGAACCTGTTTACCAAAGAAGTAGCCTTTCCGCATTTTTTTCTGTGTTTCTGCATTGTTTGCCAGATTTCAGGTGCCTTTTAAAAGAGAAATATATTGTGGACTGGCAGAAGGTATCCCCATAGAGTGGCTATGCATTGGCTTCACTTAACACTTAATTGAAATTTGGAGAAAAAAAAACTATTTTTTAGGATATGCCATTGTCATTTGGTTACGTCTGACACCACAATTCATTTAGGTCATAGAAACCACATTCATTGTCTACTCAATAAAGTAAAAAGTCATGTATGATGCGACATTCAGTATTAGGTTTCAATATCCAAGGCAGGTGAGGCCAGGGCCACTGCAACAGTTTCTCTGCTTTGTGTTGAACTGTTGACCATGCTTTTGTTTATCCATTCACAAAAGCCTAGATCCATGGATATACGAGTATTATCCAACCAATGAGTTTCAGTTTGTTGTTTGACTCTGATTTGATTCAAAATGGTCAAACATCACTTATTTTGTCAATTAACAGGCATTTAGTATATATACCTACACATGAAGTAGATTGTTATGTACTTCAGCTGGCAGAACTGTAGTCTTTGGCACTCGACATTGACATATGATGGGGATGCTTAGGGCAAGGGTGGGTGAGAGGCGAGAGCAGATGCTTCTAGAGTGGGACAGTCTTCTGAACGTGTGTGGGTATCCTGAATTTTTATGTTCAGGCTTATCCCCACAGCCCGGGATTGTCCGGTCGGTTAGCAGTGATCCCCGTTTGTGAACAGGTACGGCGCTGGGTGCAACGTATCGTGGGCTCGTTCGCCTATCACGCGTTTGAACTAAATGCGTAATGAAGTTTAAAAAACATCTGCCTTGATATTGACAATAACAAAATATTTTCATTTTCATTTTTATCGGCGACAATTTATCTTAGGTAACTAATTTATTTATCGTCTCTTCCGTTCTTGGTTAAACACCAACGAATAAAAGTGAACTGTTGAATCGAGTTCACCAGAGCCGACAACAAGCAGACGGGCAGTCCCGTCTTCAAGACCGTTCGTCTGCCTACGTGTAGCCTGTTATAAGTGTTATTCATCTCTTCCTGTGCTGCGTGATGTTATTTTTCATCCGCTGAAGTCGTGAGTGGGAGCCGTGCAGTCGCTCTCGCTCTCACGCACGCAACCTCTCTCGGCTCTCTCCCTCTGCACGATGTCACGTGATGACTTGCTATTCTATTCTTCCACGGCTTTTTCTAACCAATCTCGGTAAGGACATTTAACCCACGCCCCACTGGGGTCTGCGTATAACGCGCTCCAAGGGGGGGGGGAGCTATTCATAGCCCCCCTCCTAACTCCGAAACTACTGGGCCGATTGTCAAAATTTCAAACGCCATCAGGGCCCTGTTTCACCGGTGATAGCAGCACGCTGCTATCACACGTGTCAAATTGGGTTTCCATGGAAACATCAACAAACCATGGCGCCGTCAATCTGTGTGATGTCATCAAGTACTGCTGCTAACATCTTCACGGCCGTGCGATCAAACAAATGTATCAAACGCAATCCAACGAGACAGCAACTCTGTTCCAAACGCAGCTCACGGATTACACGAAACGTCATTAGTGTGACCTCATCACATTACGTCAGCTCGCGCAATTTGATAGTAGCGTGCTGCTATCACCGGTGAAACAGGGCCCTGATATCCCCGGAAAAACTGTCGAGCGAAACTCAATTTCATTGACCTCGAGGTCACCAGTGACGTCACAGGTCAGGTCAAAGTAAAAATTATCGATGTTTGGCTTGTTCACATTGTGGGCCCTGGCCGCCGGCTTACAAGTCAGATCAGGCTCATTGTTGGTTTACACATTCGTGAATAGATGCTTTAGATACCCGGAGGGTGCCAAACTTGTACTTTGATTTTCAGGTCAGGGTCACCCGTCAGGTCATCACAGGTCACGGAAATCTTATATCATACATCGGTCTGGTGACAATTTTTTCATGGTCCATTTAGGCCATATATTTCGAATTCGGTGTCGCCTGTGTCATTGGAGGCCATTTTCAGCTGGATATAGCTGAGTTCAGGTCACTTGCAGGTAAAAAAGGTCAAAGTTCAAAGTTCAAATTTTTCAATAAAAAAGGTGTTTATCAGATGCCGTTTGAGCTCAGGAACACGATGATGCTATTCATATTGCTGCACGATGTCAAATACGTACTGAAAATTGATTTCAAAATTGTATAATGCATAGTGAAATTTTTGCTATAACGCGTATAACTTGGCTATTTTTGAAGATATATGGCTACAGCTTGCTAGAATATATCACGGGCATGTGTTCTATCACTTGTGCGCCGTTTTTTGTGTGGAAAATCAAAAACTTTTGGAAGGAAAGATAAAAATAAAAAAAAATTAATACATATAATTTTCAAAATGTTCAAAATTTTAAAATCCGTGATAGCACTTTGATAGCACCTCATGTCCTCTCATGCAAATACATTGGATCTAGCTAAAAAAAAAAACAGCTCTTGAGAGCAATTGCCGTAGTTCAATGTTTTGCTTCGAAATCGGGCGAATATGACGTCACTCTGACGTCATTTCCGGGCGACCTATGGTAGCTACGAAGTTCACATTTTGACACAAGGTGTCAAATTGATGCTGCCAAAGGTACTGAAAGTTATGCATCGATCCGTCTAGCGGCTTAGAAGTTATTGCAAAAAAAAACTAGAGGGGGCTATGAATAGCCCCCCCCCCCCCCAGTGGGGCGTGGGCTAAGGTTGTCAAGTTCCCCTGAAGAAGTCACATTCAAAAGTAAAATAACATTAAAAAGAAATCGACTTTGAGTTACATTACATAAAAACAAAAACTCAGGTCACCATCACAACATTCCAAAGCTTTATAACTTTTATGATGCACTTTGGTGTTCCTTATTTGCGCTCCTATGTCAGGATTCTCGTCTTGAATATTTTATCGTTTCCTCCTGCAAATCAATCGTTCTTTTATGTTTTCATTCACCACATTTTATGCTTTCTCTCGCAGGTGAAGCAGTTATTTAAAACAAATGGAATCGCCTACGGAGCGCTGGAGCTCGACCAAGTTGGTGAGTACAACTTTCTTAACGCATGTGTGAAACACGTCGGCAATAACTATGTGTGAGAGTAATGCCTAACGGGAGAATACCCTTATCATTTTTTTATTATTCCTATTGCCAGTACATGTTTTTCCTGCGTTAGTAGGCAATTTCCACTGTAAGGGGCGCAGCGTTTCTGAAGAGTAGCATGACACTGATGGCGGGTATGGCGGCGCGTTAGCTCCAATGCGTTAGCGTTAGAGGGCCTTGACGTTAGCTCTGCTCACCGTGCTGCATCTTTATGTCGCCATGGCAACGGCTGTTTCATGCCTGGTGGGTTGGCCATAGGTATGGCATCTTGGGTATGGCCTTGATAGGTATCTTGGGTTGGCCGTGACTCGGCAAGTTCTTTTGTTTATTTGCCTGTCGCGCTTCAGTTGTTCACTTCTCCGTGTGTACGGTGTAGCAGCCGGCACAAAAATCAAAATATTTATGCAACGTGCGACGTAATCCAACGTCGACATTTGTCGACGTTTCATTATTCTCGAGGGACACAAGTGAAGATATCATGTCGCGTGCAACATTCTCCCCAGTCTCGCTGGAATCGAGACTTCGTAGTCGAATCCAAGATTCTTACAGATAGTCGAATCCACATCACTGTAATAGATTTCTAATTAGCTGTCAGCATCGCCACGCCGGGGATCTGTCAGACCGTTCCACACTGTCGAGATACCCTCGGTCATACCCGTCCAATCAGGTGGGCCAGGCGTGGCTGACCCCGGGGCGGGGGCCATCTGCGCCGTCACGTCTCTTCAAGCGTCACGTCACATTGCGTCACGGGTCGGACAATGAACGGTGCGCGGGCCGGTGTCGGCGCGCGGCCGTACCCGTCCGCACCGGACCGCGTGACGCCCGGTCAATACATGCCAGTCGGTCGGCCGGGTGCCGCCGGACTGTCCAGCGGTGTGTTTGGTCCGCTCTGTGCTTCGTCCAGGCGACCCAGACAGCGCCGAGAGGGGTCGGCGCGGCGGCCGGATGGGCTGCGGCGCCTCGGGCGCAGCCGGGCCGCTGCAGCCGCCGAACGGAGGTGAGTGAGGCGGATCTCCCCTCTCCGGGCGACCTGCCGGGCCGTCCACAGCACCCTCTGCCCAGTCACGCTGACTGACGAATCGGCAGGCACGGAGACTCCCGAGCACCGCGAGTTGCACGGTCGTAGAGCCCCCGGAGACGGAGAGCCCCGCGGTGACTCGCCGGTGATGGCAGCGGTGACGCCTGGGCTGCCATATGTGACGTCACGGGTGACACGCAATGGGGAAGTCTTGTGGTATTTGTGGGAGTGGAGCGAGTGGATGACACGCCATTCTCAGATCAGTTCCGTCACGTACCTACGGTGCTTTGAGGCCTGCTTCTGATCCGGATGTTTTCCGTGTTGGCCATTATTCTGCGAGCATGGCTTGTTCAGTCTTTGAAATTACGGGAGAGGAAGTGGGTTCGCAGCTCAGAGCATTGAATCATGAGTCTCATGTTGTTCCCGAGAGTTGTGTCGTCAGAACTCAAGCTGTGGTAGGTTGCAGACATGTGCATGGATCCGAGAGCTGGATCTATGATCTCAGTGGATCTCTCGACAAAATAGAGGGGTTGGATCTATGATCCGAGTGGATCTCTCGACAAAATTCAGGGGTTGGATCTATGATCCGAATGGATCTCTCGACAAAATTGAGGGGTCGGATCTATGATCTCTGTGGATCCAGCGGGCAAAAATTTGTGGAGGACCTATGATCTGTATGGATCTCACGACAACATGTAGCCAATGAAACCCTTATCCTACATAATTGTACACCTTACAGTGCAATACAATTGAGAATTGTCACTTGTGGACATGTTTGTTGTAATCATTAGGTATCATCATTAAATTTGAATTTAAATGAACAACATTTGTACTATATTTAAAATAAACCAAGAACATGCACATTGCTTTTTGTGACCAATCGTAACTTTTTCATGACAGCACTGATGACAATCTTATCAGCAAGCTACAGCCACTTTACTTCAATGAACAAACAGTACAGACAGATGCAGTGGCAGCGGGGCACTGCAGATTTTCATTTTGGTCCCATTCTTTCCATGCAACGCCAGTAGGGCTAATGTTAAAATGCCAAAATCTATGGGGGGCACTGTACCCTGGTGCCACCCCCCCCCCCCTGTTCCGCCGCCTATGGACAAATGTTAGGAAATCAAATCTGGAAGCCAAATAGGTCAGTTCTGCTCAAAATAATCCAGCAATCCACTTCTACCAGGTATGAAAACCCAATCTAGAATGTTCGCATGAGCTATTAGTATGTGCAACACAATTTCGATTCAGTAAGAATAGCAACCAACCTCTAATACTTTCCTAACAAAATTACAAGTTCAAAAATGGCATCAACTTCTTCAGATTACCTACTTTTGGCATCGTGCCACGTGTGGCGCCATGCCGTGCTGTCGTTATGAGAGAGCCTCCCAAAAAAGACAAACGAAATTCACAGCTCACGTTTTGGTAATATTGTTTTATTACGTCATTATCGTTTGACAATATAGCTTAGTACACGAGCGTTTCTAAATTTTCATTTTGTGACCGAGACCAGGGGGGGTCGAAGTCTAGTTCATACTAGACTGGCAACCCCACGGCTGACGTCACGATCCCCAGCGTGACGTCACAGCCCCAGGGCATTGACCCCTTGAAGCTTGCAATATTTGATGGTGCTTACAGACAAACTGAACAAAGCTTGTACGTAACAAAAGAGTCATGCTTCTACGCTCGATGTGTTTATTGTGTTTTTAGCAGATAAAGCAGACAAAATTGTTCAAAGGCAGAAACAGCGAGGTGTACGCCAGTCGCCACGCATCGATCTCATCGCATATGGTGCCCCAAGAGGCGCAGCATTGCACCCGTGGCCCCTCTTTATGTCCCTAAGGTCATTTCAGGTCAAGAATGGTCTCCAGCAGTTTTTTGTTTTACCGTAACCTTTGACAGAGATATGATTCTTGATTAACCCGAGCCCTGCTGGGGGGGGGGGGGGGGTTCAACACCCCCTTGTGGTTTTTCGCGAATATCTCAACGTTTTTGGTACACCTTATCATACATCAATTCTACACATGTTGTGAAAATTTCAGACCAAAGTCATTCAAGGTCAGGTCACCAGGTCACTTTAAGTGACCTCACCTCATAAAAAGTTTCAATGTCTGTCATAGCTACACCGAGTGACTGATCGCTTTAAAACTTTTAGCGATTGCTAAGAGCAATAGCATGTACAAAATGCATATCTCAGAATTTTGATATCGATGACCTAAGGTCAGGTCAATTTTGCGACCTCCCCATTATAAGTCAATGGGAGAAAATTAAAATGCGCCTCTTTTGGACGAAAGACATTATAAACACTCCCAAACACCGAATTACAAGTGGTTTAGACACACTGAACATGAAAATGGTGTCCGTGACCCTTGTATATGCCCTGAGGTCATCTTAGGTCACGAATTGTATCTAACAGTTTTTCGCAAATAACTTTTGATAGAGACATGCTAGAGCAATGAAAACGCCTTAGATGTGTTTAGCTAGACGATACGGATCGACTGATATGCAACATGACCCTTTCCGGTCAGGTCATGACCTTGACGTGAGGTCAAGTTTTCAACTTGACCTTTCAAGGTCAAGTTATAGTTCATTCGATGCGTCTTGACGAGAGGAACACGATGCCGGTGAAAGTAAGCTCGTACAAGGCTTGGGTCAAAAGTTATTGCAGAAAAACTGTTTCCGAAAAAATCGGCTATTTTTGCAGTTTTTGCCCCCTGCAGGCAAAACCGTTGACGTTAGGTCAAATCTGATAAAATTACTCAGAAAGGGCGTTAATAGGGCTATCGAATGCGCTTTTCCGCGGCGCTGTAGCTCTATTGGTTCCCGAGTTATGCGTCGGCTTCTTGGAAGTTGTCGACATTCGACCTGGAAATCGGCGAAATTTTGCCTTCAATGACCTCTGTTGACCTGACCTTTGACCTGACCAAAAAATTGACCGAAGTGATTTCGTCATTATTTTTGACGCTCTTTCGAACGCCGCCTTCCGCGTATCGCTACGTGGCCCAGGAGCCGAGTTAGAAGGGGGGTGTTCAAACCCCCCCAGCAGGGCGTGGAAATCCAGGACCCCCAGCCGGGCGCGGGTTAATGTTCCCAGGCATTCTCTGGTTCTCTGTCTCTTGATTTCTCAACCTGTCGGCTGTCTCAACCGTTCACGGTTTTCTGAAAGCTTCTGAGTGGCGGCTCTTCCACCAGCTATAAGCTGGTTGTTTCGTGGTTCTTGACTTATAGCAAAACTTCTGATTCTCAGACAATTTATGATCGATCACACTTAGATCACAAGGATGCTTCTACCGGGATAAAAACAGATATCTCTGCGTATCATTCGCTTTACCACCAGGGACTGGCGACTTGCATTCTGTATAACATAATAAGTCTTTATTCTTATTTCTTTACGCGCTGAAATTAACCACCTGTGTCTGGAACCATGATATGATAAAGTAAAAATATTATGCCAAAGCTAGATAAATTAGATGAGCCCCGAAATACAGGAAAATATCCAAAGAGCTTGTTTTACCCTATTTCATAACAACAAAACTATCTGCAAATACGAAATAGCGTCCTTAGCAACCGCCCATAGCAACGTGTTTGTCTGAACCACGCATCTGGAAAATTAAGTAGATACTGGATAAGTCGACTAGAGTTTGGTCAAAACTACACTGAATTTGATTTCGAAATGGCTTTTTGTGAATCAAAGGTAAAGTGACTTATTATTTCCTTTTAAATTTTCATACTATTAGAAAACATGCTTGTTTGCTCTATATTTGTAAAGAAACAACTGCAAGGACGAAATATCACGACAAATTCTAGTACCTTGTTGGTAGGAAACTTCGTCCAACCTTATGTTTTAGGGCCTTGACCGAGACGCAGTCGAGGTCACAAAATGAAAATTTAGAAACGCGAGTGTACTAAGCGATTTAGT